TAAACTGAAAGATTACTAATTCCAACAAACGCTTCACGAGGCACACTAGTTAAAGAGGGTGTTGCAGTTCTTTTGTTATTTTCCCTAAATGTGTAGCAGACTAAAAGAAGAATTTTTATGTTGCAGAAACTCATATTAATTTTTTTCAAATGCAACAATATATAAAGCACAACGAGAAACAATATTTGGAAGGTGTATATTGACTTCCAGTTTGCTATTAAATGATGTGAAAATTAGTCTTACGCCAAAATATATCAGATTTTCCCTTTTTTAAATAGGGAATCCCCATTGTTCTGAAAAAGTGCCTCCTTGAAACAAAATAATTTTGATACATACACAAAGAGGTAGGAATTTTCTTAAAAACTGCCATTTCCGATTTTTGTTTCAAAGAGGCACTTTTTTGAAAAACGCAAAAATTGAATAAAAATTATTCTTCAAAGGAAATGCAAAATGTTTACGTTAAATAACATTGCAAAATCATCGTGTCCGAAATGGTCTAGTGGATATGCTGGTGGGCTTCCAACTAGTACTTTTACCAGAGAATGGGTTCGAATCCTGGTATGGATCATTTTTGCATATTTTTTTTTCATATGTAATGGAAGTGCAATGAAATTATATATATTTTGAAAGAGAGAGGGAGGGGGGGGATGTCAAGAAGTTAATTTTAAATAACTAATCTATATATTAGAAATGCAGGATTAAATTGTTTTCTTTGATATGCTGTGACTTAAAACTAATGCTTTATTTAGTTTTGTCTTGGAAAATAAAGTTATTTTGTTTAAATAATCTATTTTTTTACATACTGTAGTTATTGCAATTTTGGTCTCTTAGTAAATAGCCAAGATTTGATTTGAAACAAATAAGATGTCTTGGATATAGCACCAACAGTGTGATTATGGGACGCAGTTTTATTTCATAAAAAATATTTTTGCACGATGTCTACAGAATATCTTTCAAAATGCTGCTTTAGCCATTGTGCTTTTTGTTGTTCCAACCTTTTTCGTGCAAAATGACGAAAGTGTTTTGCTGTATCAAGCAGGAAATACCCGCCGTTAACATTGTCCTCTACGTAGCTGTATATATATTTAGACATAACGAGGGTATTTAAATGTCCTTCTCGATATATAAGGAATAATCGCGAGTTTCTGCAACACCCTCTTTTCTAGGTTTCTGTTTTAGTGTACATGTGTACAATGTATATATCCTCCCGCTTTTCAAGCGAGGGTATAATAATAGACAGTTCCATAACTACACCCCATGAAACTTCGATTTGCCATACCATTATTACAAGAAACTTATACGGACTACAAATATGCACTATGACTTCATTTTTTTGTTGTTGAAAATTTGACATTATTCTATTTCAATTTTTTACAAAGCTGGATCAGGCGACCCTAATCACTATTTTAATAGCCATCTTGATATACTGGTAATCATTTTGAAGACATTTTATTGTTGACTGAAAGAAAAAAAACACTATGCAATTTTATGAACAAAACCAAGAATGGAAATTGTTGACGGTTTCCTATGGAATCCGGATAGGGCCACGCACTTCACTATCGCATCATCGCACCATCGAGGTTTAGGTCGATAGTGCGATGAAGAGATAATGCGATGACGATGAGGCGATGGTGCGATAGCGATGAAGTGATGGTGCGATAGCGCGATGACGATGATGCTATGGCGCGACAATGCGATGACGATGGTGCGATAATGCGATGACGCGATGGTACGATGACGTGATGGTGCGATAGTGATGACACGATGATGCAATGACGATGGTGCGATAGTACGATGACGATGAAGCGATATTCACTATCGCTCAATCGTGCTATCGCACCATCGCCATCGCATTATCGCGCCATAGCATCATCGTCATCGCGCTATCGCATCATCGCTTCATCGTTATCGCACCACCGTTTCATCGTTATCGCGCCATCGCATTATCGCGCCATCGACCTTTACGTTGATGCTCGATGGTGCGATAGTGAAGTGCGTGGCCCTATCCGGATTCCATAGTTTCCAAATGGACTTTCATTTTCATAAATACATCTTGTACGTTGTGGCCTTAATATTTTTGGCTGGTTCTCTTTTTGAAGTAATGTTTCTCCATTTTTTACCCTGAATAATTTTACATCACAGAATCATAATAAATTTCGCCGTTGAAATAATAATGAAAAAGTAAGTGATTTGAATGCTCAACAAAGAAATTCAACAAATACATGTAAAAACCTTGCGTCTGAAAAATAAATACTAAGTACCACAAATATTTATATACTGACTTTCTTAACAAGTGAAGTGAAATCCTTTCTGGGACCCTCAACAATCCCCATACTATTTTTGACCATGAAACTGTAAAAGCCTTTTCAATCAAAATTCTATTTGTATGTTTGGTATGATTCAAAAAAATTAATCAGCCTTTGGGATTAAGCACATATGTGATTGATAAAATATTCTGCTGTTTTCGAAAATAGTACATGCGTATATTGAATCAGATATAAAAGCCAGCAACTCATTCAAAGTCTCATTACTCTCACTGCCGAGTCAAATCCAAGGTAAGTACTGTACATTTAAAGAATCACATTTTTAATAGTTTGTTGGTTATATGCCAGGATATCAAAAATAGTTGGAAAGGTAGGATAATTTGCATAAGGGAAGAAGCCCATTATGCATAAACAGAAATGGAAATGCACGATCGACGAACAGGTCGGGTTCATAAATCCGCAAATCAAAACTGGTCGTGAATAGGGCAATAATATGGACCCCTAGAAACACCTCAGGTGGGTTCAGGTGCCTAGAAGGAGGAAGCATCCCTTGTCAATTTGTAATTAACACTCGCCGTTAATCATCTATATTGATCAGGTAGACATGAACACATTTAGTCAAATGTAGTATAAAAGTATTGACCCAATAAATTGTAATAAACATATTCAAAATGCGATCCAAAATACTCTATATTTACAAAAAGGTCAACATTAAAGGTCAATGTAGACAATGTATAAGCATAGAAATAAATATATAAACAGTCTATTTCAGAAGAAAACTCACAATGGCAGCTACCGGAAAGGTCCTTTTAAGTTCAACAGTTTTAGTCTTGTTGCTTGTATTGAATTGTCCGGAACAGACTGAGGGAGGGGTGATTGGTGACTGTTTTGAGACTTGGAGCAGATGCACTCGATGGAGCTATTTTCTGACCGGAATTGGCTGGCAAACCTGTCCTCAACGCTGCCAATGTCTTGGCCACAGGACCGGAAGTTGTGTATCAAGAAATTCAAAATGTCCTCTGACGAAGAAAGCATATCGTTGTGAGTGTACAGGGACAAGGATCGGACCTAAACCACGCTGGTGTGGATTTTAAAGAGAAACCTCAGGAGGATGAAACAGACTTCAACTTTAAAATAACTCCAACTTGGTCATGATACAGCAAGTTAATGTTGTCAACTGAAAATAAATAAAATATTTGACAATTAAAATATAATCTTTGACTTTGTGATAGTTGGTTTAGTTCGACTTTCCACTCGGTGGGCAGAGTTTTGACGCTGTTTACAGAGCTATATGAAAACCAAGACATGCATGCCATATATGATTGTGTAGATAAATTATCGTAGAAGACAATGGTAATAAAAACTTTGCCAGTGCATTTAATCTGAAAGTGTAAATGAGTGCGTTTCTGAGGAGGGGGGTACTGAGTGTAATTCGGAGTTAGATACCTTGTGTTACTATTATACTATAGGTTAAAAGATTATTTCCGAAACAAGTGCCTGTGTTAGAAAGTGCCGGTATGGTTCACTTTTCAACATGAGCACCCGTTTTGTGCATCGTTTTCAAACCCGTGGCCCCATTCGCCGCTAGATTGAACATTCTGTCATCTACAGAACACCCATCATCTTTAAAAAAAAGAAAATTGACCACTGATCTTACATTTTTAAAAGAAATAATCACATTTTAGAATACGTCTGGGTTTTTCCTTTTTTTTTATCAGAGACATATAACCCTCCTCATATGTCTCTGTCAGTTTTAATTTAACTCCGTAGTAATGATTAAACATTGGGTGAATCGAATATACATTAATGATTAAACGAAAAGAATTTGATGGCATTTTATCAATGATATAATAAAAGTTCCACTATTCATTTGTAGGTGTGATTTTAAGACCAAAGTTAATGAACAGTTTGCGTAGCAAGATGACATATCATTCGGCACACCTCCGGAGATTTACGGAAGCTTATATTTAGAACCGATCAAAAAATATTTTTGAATTTGATAAAACAAATTGTCGAATTTGTTAGAACGAATTTGACGAATTTCATTTGTTATTACAAATTTTAGAATCCTTTTGAAGGAATTTAATTCGTTATTACAATTTTCTGTTATAACAGGTATAAATCGTTATAACGAATTCCAAAAAAAAAAAAAATGTTATAACGAATTAAATTCGTTTTAACAAATTTGACGAATAACGAATATTCAAAAATACTTTTTTGATGGGTCCTAAATGGGCTTCCGTGAAGAGGTATAGATAGTTTTCGATGGACCTAAATTTAGCAAAAGTTTCCTCCCGTTGGTCGCCATATTGGAGGTCGACTCGGTGAGTTTTCCTCTTTGTCTTACCAAGATATATTTGGTGGAAAATCTTTATTAAATTTTTTTTTTTAAATATTAGCAGAAATATTTGGTGGAAAATCTTTATTAAATATTTTTTTTTAAGATAAAGGAGGCTTCCAAAAATTTATATACTTCAGAAAAATAATGATTCCAAAATCAAAATCGCAAATATAAAAATTTAAAATTGGTTGAACAATGAAGCAATGTGAGCATTTGGACCTCCAGTATGGCTGCCAACGGGAGGTAACTTTTGCTAAATTTAGGTCTTTATAAGATTATTTTAACATCTTTCCAGTTTTATATTTTTATGGAATACAATGATGAATAATCGAATGAATTTGCAAATTTGTGGAGAAATATACAATAAGTTTCGGAATATTGAATTGGGGTGGGGATTTTCCTGTCCACAAGTGCCCGTGCACAAAAGTCACTGATCTCGATGCACTTGTTGACATGACGTCATCATTTGACGCATTTTCTGAGCAGTGAAAGGAGGATCGAGGATCAGGTTAATTTTTTTTTAATGTAAAATGCATTTTATTGCAGTTTGAGTAGTATTTTCAGTTGCTAACGTTAGGTACATATATACTATTTATATCAATGTGAAACATTTCTTTAGTGTCATTTATGATTATTTTAACATTTTTGAGAGAAAGTACAGGCCTAAAATAAATTTTAGGTCTACCGTGTTTCAGTGCACAGGACAGGGTTGGTTTGTTTATAATTGAGGTGCCTAATCATCCTCTTTTTGGTGGGCGGGCCAAGCACTTATAATTGAGGTGCCTAATCATACTCTTTTTAGAGGGCGGGGCAAGCACTTATAAATTCCTTATCATGAAAAGTGTTGCCACTTTCCTGAAATCAAAAGCATTAGAATTACTTCGCTTGGATCTACGTTATAGGTCATAATGTTTATATATATCATTTTCAATTTGAGACAATTTAAAGGAGCTTATAAAATCTATTAAAAGTCGCAGCAATCGTTAGAAACTACAACATTAAGATATGTATAAATCACTATTATTTTAATTTGAAAGAGGTTACGTACATGGGAACTGTGATCATCTGCCATGATAGAATGAGAATTCCCTGTTGACTGGTCACACCAACCGTGTGCTCCTTGTAATGATCGCCTATATTCTGGCATACAGGGAAATCCTTGGACAAAACATTTTATAAAACGTAATGGCCTATGTCATGTACAACTTGTACGATAAATCCCAGTTAGCATATGACATAATGAAAGATTGTATTAGTTGACAAGGTCATTGTAATTAACTTTAAAATTTGCACAATGTTGATTTAAAAAAAAAAAATCCCTGATTTGCTTGTTTCATCACTTGTTTGTCTATATGTCGTCATGTTAATCAAAAAGTTTTGTTTATTTACTATCGAATTCTTTTTAGTAAAATATCCTTATAATAATTTTGTGAAAGATATGTTTCAGATTGCTTTTTAATCCGAGATTCCTCTCAGTCTGACTCCTATTTACCCCAGTACCCCTGCTATTTATATTGTGACATGTGAAAAAGCATTTTTTAAACAAAGGCCAGTCAAGCATTTTTTAAAAAATATAATACATTTATCATATTTTAACTTAAATATGCATTTTTTTTCAGAAACAAACACCATGGTTGCGGGGAAATTCTCTCTTGTGTCTGCAGTTCTGTTCGCCATGTTGATTTTACTAATGTGTTCATGCACCGAAGGATATATTGGTAAATGCTATGCCAAGCGGAGTGAATGTACACGTGCCGGGGGGAGAGACTGGAAGGCTTGTTTAAAAATGTGTAAATGTGCAAACTTTCAATCAGGAAAATGCGTATATAGCAGAGCAAAGTGTCCTTCCGCCAAAAAGAGAAACATCTGTATGTGTAGGAGAAGAAGAAATGGACCAAAACCCAGATATTGCCGATAAAAACAAAATCATGAAATGCATTGTCTAGGTTCGTTTACGTTTCATATATTTTTAATGGACGAGACATTCGACACATGAGGAATTCATTCTTTGCAGTATCTGGTGCTGGAAGATGTCGGCACAGTCCTCAATAAATACATTCAGTGCATGATTTGAAGCATTCTTTTTTTCAAGGGCTATAAAAATATGTTTTACGTTATTGGCAATAAATTCTCAATATCTCCATATCTATTTGTTATCTCTTAATTCTCTGTCATAACTCTTCAAAAGTTAGTTGATTTGATTCCTTGCTCATTCTACCTGAATGTTTTCGTCAAGCGATTTAGGTCAGGAGCTTAGGAGACCTAATATGCATGATAGTCTCGTGCGGCTGTCTTTGTGTCTGACGCTAAGGAGTAAGGAGGCCTAATATGCATATAAATCGAATTAATATATTTGATAAATGGAATTTTGTAGATCCATATTTTTGTTAAAATGTTTATATTTCCATTTCTAAATTTTTTCTCTATAATAACCCTTTGAAAGTATACTATAGGAAATAATTGAAATACATGTAATTGAAAGCCTGGTCAGCAGCTAAGGAACCCCCCCCCAATTACGCAAGCAAATCTCTTGCGCATCCGTTTTGTGATGCGCCAAGGAGGAAAATGTGCATATTAGAATTGGCGGCTGAAAGTGTTTGACAGTGTGCGAGGAATTGAAATTGGCACCTACCCCCCCCCCCCCCCCCTCGTGTAATTTAAATCGATTAGGATTACATTCGAATGTTGTCTACAATTTTTTTCACAATGATTTTATAAGGAATCTTGTCAACTTTTTGAGAGTATAAGTAAAAAAAAATTTCTAACGGGCTGCCCGTTATGCAAATTATCTCCCCCCCACTTTCAAAAACGATGCTACGCACCTGTTGTTGATCAATATTTTTGTTAAAATCTATTTATACAATTATCATCCGAATGATATATAGTTTTCTTACAGTGAACTGTTTTAAAATTATGAAAACAGCACAAATGCTGCCGCTATAGTAATTTTTGACACCAACACCGTGTGCGACGTCAGTACAGCTAAAATGTGCTTGACGTCAGTGGACATGCAGATACTGTTAATTCTTTTTATGAATTACAATTAAGCAAATTGAAGTGGTAAAATTTTCTTTTGGATGAAATGTTCTGAGTTATGTTTGAACGCCAATTATAACATAATGACACGCCCATTTCTTGAGAAACGAAACGTAATGTTTATAACACTCCACTCGTCGTGACAACCAACATGGGTTACACCAAAATGGAGACTTCTAAAGATATGAGAAAGCGAGAGAGAGAGTTCCCGCTTTTGTAAAACACGTACTGCAATTACGGTTTTGTCTATAATTATGAATTTATCATGTTTATTGGAGTTACCATAACACACGTATCGGTCGAGCACGTGCTTATTCGGTGTCTATCCAGACCGTCAATTTGATTGGCTACTATATTTATGGAAACCTGTTCCACAGGTATTCGAATGATCAATTTGACCGATGTAAGGATATGGGCGTTGTGTATGACAATCTGTTTAAAGATAGGGCAAGTCAGAAAATTTTACCACTTCAATGCGCTTCATTGTAATTCTCATAAGTTTTTCCAAAAACGAACAAAAAAATTCAAAGGCTACGGGAATGTTATATCCGTTAATGGTGGATAAAATGACCTGTACGAATCGTACAGTAAACAATCGCCATTTCTGTTGACTGGACGAGCCAGATCAGTATCTGGTGTTCTGCTTAATAGGCAAGCCAGATCAGTACCTCGTGTTCTGTTTATATAATGGGTGTGCCAGATCAGTACTGAGTGTTCTGTTCATATAATGGGTGAGCCAGATCAGAATCTGTTGTTCTGTTTAATGGGTAAGCCAGATCAGTACTGAGTGTTCTGTTTAATGGGTGAGCCAGATCAGTACTGGGTGTTCTGTTTAATGGGCGAGCCAGATCAGTACCTGGTGTTCTGTTTAATGGGCGAGCCAGATCAGTATCTGGTGTTCTGTTTAATGGGCAAGCCAGATCAGTACCTGTTGTCCTGTTTAATGGGCAAGCCAGATCAGTACCGAGTGTCCTGTTTAATGGGCAAGCCAGATCAGTATCTGGATGTTCTGTTTAATGGGCGAGCCAGATCAGTACTGGATGTTCTGTTTTATGGGTGAGCCAGATCAGCGCCTGGTGTTCTGTTTAATGGGCATGCCAGATCAGTACTGGGTGTTCTGTTTTATGGGCGAATTAGATCAGTACCTGGTGTCCTGTTTGATGAGCGAGATCAGTATCTGGTGTTCTGTTTAATGGGCGAGTTAGATCAGTTTCTGTTGTTCTTTTTAATTGGATCAGTTCCTGGTGTTGGATATCAGATGCTCAGAAATAAGAGAAATATGACTTATCATCACCAATACTACATTTAATTTAATTATTGTGAATTAAATTTGTACATGTACGTCTAAAAATATGTTTTCAATCACTAAAGAATATAAATCTGCATAAATTGATTTGTAAACATGTGTAATAAAAATATTTTCAAAACAACCTGTTTGCTATAAATTTAAGGTGAAAACCTTGCTGCATAGTAAAAATATACCGTATCTCCCTGGCATAAAGTTGACTCCTTTCATACATATTCATTATTGATCCTGTTGATTTGCAATATAACATCATGACATTTTATTATATTTACATTTGCCAATGTCTTTCTTTATATGACAATACTAAAAAAATGAAATTCAATTTTCGATGACATGCAGTCGGTCACATAATCAGACTTTCTTGCGTATGGAAAGCAAACTGCACGTGCAATTTGGAAAGTTCCGACTGTGACGTCACATAACGTCGTAGCAACGTTACGTTGCATTTCGAAATCTAAGTCTAAATAATGCCTATATTTGTTTGTAAAATGAATGAAAACGTAAAATATAAATATAAGAAATAAAATATCATTTTTTAGAGTTTCATTGGGGTATGACATGAAGTCGGTACGTGATCAAATCTACTATAATTCCAATCTTCATTTTATCTATTGATTTCCTGTGTTTTGATTGGACGAGAACACGTTCCAGAAAATTTTTACACATCGATAAATTCTTTCAATCAGAACTACTTTCTTGATGACACTACTAGGTTATTGTATAAACAATGAAAGCAGTTATTTCTGGGTCTGTTCTGGCTAAATAACGAATACAAGAAACTTTAACTAATTAGGGCTTAAACAAAACTGGCAACATACTAGAATGCCCAACTGATGGACGCCGTGAAAATGTTTATGTCACTGTCCGATCACGAGTGTGAATTTTAAAAATCGCTGTCTCAACGTTCATACGTGGAAAATAAGCTCAGTCTGTATCGTTTTGACAGGGAAAAGAAACGTACCTCAAACTCTTGCCCTATTAGCATCAAATTCATATTTACTTTCTATATTGTTCCTCGATATTTGAATAAACAAGTGCAAATTGAAGGCGTCGTCGGTCTACTATGAGAGTTGTTGTTTATGTCAACATGGCCATGGTCAAAGACGAACTATTCTGAATTAAACTCGTAATTACGATATTTGTTACTTAAACAACATTCGAAGTTGTTATAAGTTTATTTAACGATTGTTTTGACAATTTAAGTTGAATATCGAAATTCATCTCGTATATAATGTATTCCTACGCCGTCCAGAAATAACGGATTGTATGGAGGCCTCAAAGAGAAATAATTTGAATATTTTTAAAAATTCGATATTGGAATTATAAATTTAAACGTTCTTTTTGAAAAATTTATCCTGTGTTGACATTTTAGTACAAACTTAACATAAAGTGCTTCGCACTTTTATTTAGTTTGTATAAGTTGATGGTTTACACATCGATATACGTTTAATCCTATAATAACGCCCTTCGGGCGTTATAGAATTTGATCACGTGACCGACTTCATGTCATACCCCAATGCAACTCTAAAAATGATATCTTATTTCTTAAATCACATTCTTCTTGATGAATTCAAGAATTCATTGAATTCATTGCTCTTGATGAGCAAATTCAATAATTGAATAGGAACGCCTATTATACCTAAAGTTACTACATAGATCACTGTGCCAGTAAATAATTCATGTTGTAACAGAGAACGATGTCTAAATGAAGTCACTTGGAAAATCATTTCTGCTCTTCCCTTTTAGGATGATGTCCAGATGTTAAAAGTCTTCCAAAAAATCTCTTTTACATAACATGTCTCATGTATATCTAATATATAAATATGAGATTCTAAGAAAGTACCTGATTGCATTTCTATCAAAACAAACAAACAAACAAAGCAAAACCAAAAAAAAAATAATAATAATAAAAAGGGAATTAGCAGCCCGTATAAATACAGTAAAACACGCTTATAGCAAACACACTTAAAATGTATTGAGACTTACAGCATAGTAATTTTATTTCCCCCAAAATTTTAAATTATATTGTTAACTTCACAGGTTCAACGAATTACACAAATAGCTAAGCTAAATCAACCATCCCTGGCGCTCGTTATAAGCAAGTTTTACTGAATATGGTACTGATGTACTGTAAATTTCAGTTAAATATATGGCACTAATTGAGCAACTATATATGGCAAAATAATGTAACTAATGTACTAGAGTAGCATAACACACTAGCAATGATAAAGAACTACTGATATATTCTACCCTTACTGATAAAATAATATGTTGATTAAAGCTTCGAAATTTCTTGCAATTTGGTATCAAAAAAAGTTAGGTCTAAAAAAAGTGTCTTACACATTCACCATGGGGGCATTTTCATTTTGTTTCAAATTTCCACTATCCAAATCATTTGAATGATTGCAAAAATTGTCGAGTTTTAAACATTGCCTACCATCAAAACCCAATAAAACAATTATTATATAATATTATAAACAGTACACGTAACTACTTGCAACTAGATAAAAACATTAAATATTGTATTCATAATTTTTGTAGAAAGTTTATTTTTCAAAAACTAAAAAAAAGAAGACAAAATTTAAATCTCATGAAATTACTCCAACAATCTACAAACAATGTATAAGTTCTACTGTTGGTATTTATTTTCCCAGATACACCTCTTTGGTCAGAAGGGAGGTAACACATGGCAATTCCACAGGGCCTGTGCCTTGCCTTTTGAAGTGCATGCGTATAATGTTGTTCATTCTGGTTAGCAGCCTCTGTATCTCCAATGGCTCCTCTTTATCTTTGACGTGGGCGTTCAGGCCTTTGATCCATGCTTTGATGGCTGTACGAAGAATAAGTTTATGGAAATTAAAAATTCAAAAGAAATTATAAATTTTTATTCCAATTTGCAGTGGAGACTAGTGGACTTGTACGAAAAGCGCTCACTTTTACAGTTGACGAACACCTTCCTTAAGGTCATAGGTTTGGTGTTTGAAGCACTAGTTTGTGACGGGCGTTTAGGGTAGAATGATTGTTGGATTCTTCATATCCAACTAGAATGCGCTTTATTTCAGCACGTTATTTTCGTCAAATTAAGGAGGCTGGGGGGTCAACAATTTAACCACAAATTAACCACCAGATTTAACTTATTTTTCTAGATAAGGTATCTTTTGCTGTCAACATTCATTTGGCAAAGAAAAAAAATCTTAAATTTTAGTTTTAAATTTTGATCATTTTTGTATATCTTTATATGGAGCTCTTCTTTTAAAGGAGATCGAAATAGTCTGAAAATGGCTGCCACCCCCCAGCCTCGTTAAATGTTAAGCTAAATACTTTTATCGAAAAAGAGCTTCCGTACGTTTAATGTCTAAGTGTAAAAGTAAGTCGTCGATTGTAAAAGTCAGCGCTCTTCGCTATAGTCCAGTCTGCTACATACATGTACTATAACTAAATAAAAATCTGTCAATTTACAGCAAAAGTATTCTCATTTTTATGTCGCCTGTGGAGCAAAGCGACACTTAAGGATCACTTAACACGGCGTCTCTGTCTGTCTGTCCGTTCCTCCGTCTGTCACACCTTATATCTCAAGAACTGTAAGAGGTATGGATTTGATATTTTGCACATGTATAGGTTGGCACTATGGCTTTTGTGCTTGACCATGCTTTCCAACCTAGTTGTCCTTGACCTCGACCTTTGACCCACTTCTTGAAATAGTTGACAATGCAAATATACAACTTCCCTTTAAATTGACATTTAAGAAGTAAGGCTATGCTATTTAGAATTTGCACTGTTTGTCTAAAAACATTTTGAAATATACTAACGTTCGCAGTAGTCTAAAGTTTTTATCGTAAAAAAAGAAAAAAATCCGGAAAAAAAAATTTCTCATTCTCAACAGTTTTTTTAGTTGAGGGTGGGAATTTTTTTCCGGATTCTTTTATCCTTTATTTATGATTAATACTTCAGACTCCTGTGCTAGCGTTACAGTCCACTTGACCTTTGATCTACTTTGCACAATATACTGCAGAGGGTTAAATTAAAAATATGTCCATTAAATTTAGAGAGGCAGGGATTTTTTGATTAGCATTTATGCATGTTTATGAGCTCATGACTATGTACTTTGACACTGTTAGTAATCCTTTCCAAAAAAGTACATTGTCATGAGCTCATAAACATAATCAAATCCCTGCCTCTCTAAAATCAAAAGACACAATTTAAATTTAACCTTCTGCAGTGTATCTTGCAAGGTCAAATTTCAGGGCCAATTGAACACTAACGCTGGTATTATCTAAAATGTTTTATGACAAACAGTACACATTCTAACAAGACGCCCATGGTCAACTTCGTTCACATGAGCACCGTAGCTATGTAAAAAAAGCAGAAATCAGTTCAGTATTGAAAACTTTAAATCCATAAGTAGTCTCAACCTACTCTTAGAAGGAAGGGGCTATGATTTGAACAGACTTACATATTTAATTTTGACTGTAATGGTTTGGGCCGTGGATACTGGGTAATTCAGTTGGTAGAGCATCTAACTAGTGATGAATGAGTCCTTGTTTTGATTCCTGGTCCAGCCATACAGTTTCTCCTTTCCTGTTAAACTTACTATTAAGGATGACTACATATTTCTTTTAATAACTGTGGCTCCCCCTTTTTAGTTTGAACTTACTGTGGTTCCATCCTAAAACCCCAGCCCCCAACCTGGCTCCCGTCATGTTTTAACAAATCAAAATTTGCACTACCTGAAGCTTTTGCTGTTGCCGAGAAGAAAAAAATAAATTTTCCTATATATTCTTTTGAAAAAATTTGACTTGTATATAAACTATCCGAGGGTGATTTTTCCTGGCCCAGTGGTTCTAAAGAAAAAAGAATAAATGATGCTAAAACATTTTCACTAATTTGTTATTATCCCCGCTGAGTGAAAGTATAGCCCTTCATTTGAAGAAAACTGAATCCCTTTTACTCAAGGATACTCTGTGCCAAATTTGGTTGAAATTGACCCAGTAGTTCTAGAGAAAAAGATGAAAATGTTAAAAGTTTATGACAAAGAAAACCAAGAGACATATTCTGGTCAAAGGTCAAACTATATATGTGCAAAATTTCAAAGCCATATTTCTTACAGTTCTCGAGATAAAGGGTGTGAAAAACAAACAGACGGGCATACAGATAGCTAGACAGACAGGTATAAAGACACCAGGTACAGTAATCCCTTAGTGCCGCTCTTCTACTCAGTTGATGCACACAACACACAAATAAATAGATCTTCAAGCCTTCGACTCAGAAGAACTACGTTGTTGGGGTGTGAATAAGGTGAAATAACTACAAGTACCATAATCTGTCTCACAGTTGTAGATAAGAAAGTCTGCTTCTCTGGGAATTTTCAGTTGTTTAGTAGGTTCTTCTACATGACTGGGTTCTGTGCCCTCTTTACGATCTTCTGGAACTGGCTCCAACTGAAAAGATAAATTGTCGACTGAATGAACGCAGTCAAACTTCGGTATCTTGAACTCTAATGTACGGTATTGCATACAATGAATATTTCAGTTATGTGGAAGTCCCAATTGCAACCTCTTATTCTTTAGGTGTATTACTACTGGACTTTTACGAGGAGTGCTGACTTTTACAATTGACGCTTACTTTTACACTAGGGCTATGTACGGTAGCTCCTTTACGATATAAATATTTAGCTCAACATTTTATTAAAAGGAAATAACGGATTATTTCAATGCATATTTAAATTGTCCTTGAAGAAAACAACAACGACCCTATCCTCAACTCCCGGTCTTCACTTGTTAGTGCCCCTAACACCATAACTATGACCACAAGAAAGGTTTTCTTATGCATTATCAATTCTGTACTTTCGTACATGACACAAGTTTAAATGTTCAAGTAAACGTCAACTGTAGAAGTCAGTGCTTCTCGTAAAAGTCCATTAATATCTTCAACCCTTTGATAATTCACTTTTTTTCCTCATGCCATAATGTTTTGCGATATTGTTTGTATATAAGATAAAAGTCTCATACTTAATAAATGTTTCGTATTATCAAAGGATGTATGATTCCACTTTAAATTTATGTCTCTGACATACATACATGTATGCTTAAAAAGGAAAAAATGTGGGATAATTTTTGAAACATTCTTTTTCATATATTCAAGTACTGTAATCTAATATTTAAAGATATATAATAACATAAAATCAACTTTAACCAATATTAGATACCAAACATTCCTTGATTTAAACTGTTAAAATTAATGAATTATTGAAATTCATGTTACAGTTTAACCCCCTCCCCCCAAAAAAATCTCAATAGCCTTGATTCTTTTCAACAAGGAGTCCTTAAGTACATTTTCCCTTTCTTAAAGGGATATTATTAAACCCATCTGACAGGGCAGTCCCAAGTGGCTGAGAGTACCTTCAAACCCTGCCAGTTGATTTGGTAAATGTGAATGTTTTCAAGAAAATCTTGACAAACACTGGTTCTCCCTGGTACAAGCATGTGACACATATATGCAGTAGTGAGAGTATAGTTGACAAGTTCAAAAATAAAAAAAGAGCAATTGTCTTTCAGTTTTAGGGTGGATGATGATAATGATTGTCTACTGTATTATATCATACCAGTGGCAATACTGTGCCAGTGAAACAGGAGGCACCTGATGAAAAGCTCTATATCTTGATCAGCATCAACATCATCGTCATGTTTCTTAACTAAGGCAATGCAATTACTAGACGTAGCAGGACTTCTGTCAGCAGTACCATGATTGCAAAACAATCATATTGACTGTAAATATGGGGAAAAAAACAAGAAGTCCATGAACCACAATGCTTACCTGAGTAATTTTAGCCCTCCTGATCTTCACCAGATTTCCTCCCTTGCAATACCTATTGGCCCATTGGTTATTGAGAAGACTTTTTAATGACCCCACACTATTTCTGTCTTTTCTTGATTATATCCTCTTTAAAGAAGGACATGACCCTCTATTTTTTTACAATATCAACTTCCCTGTCACCCAAGGATGCTTTGTACCAACTTTGGTTTAAAGGACTATGAAAATGTGAAAAGTTTACAGACACAGATGAATGATGGGAAACATGTGATCAGAAAAGCTCATGAGCTTTTAGCTCAGGTGAACCAACAATGTGTTTACACCCAGTTCATTGAGTGGTACTAAATAAACGGTGCCTGTTTTTTTTTTTTTTTGGAGAGGGGGTAATAGTTGAAACAGAGACGTGTCCTAGTTAAAACTGAAACCCAAGCAAAATCACTGTCAACCGACGCCTGATGATGAAGTTCTCAAATACAACAATGTCAGCCAATTAATGGACAAATTTGATCAGAAAAGCTCACGTAAGCTTTTGGCTCATGTGATTAAAATGAGGCCCATAGGCCATATCTCTAAATGGCTGAGCACATCGGCCAGGAAAAGGCAGAAATTCGTTTAGTTGCTGTTCCTAAGATTTTTATTTTTCTGACATATATGTTCATTCCTACGTAAAACTGTTCATCCATTGCAGCACAACCTTTGCCAATTGCTGTTCTGAGAAGATTTTTCCTATGTTTCCTTATGTAAAACTTTGATTGCCCTTTGAGAACCACTCTAACATTTTTATTTTCCTTCACTGACGGGTTTGGTTAAAATTGGCCAAATGCTTCTGCAGAAGAAAAGATAAAACTAAAATGTTTACAACAATGAGAACAATAACAACAGCTACAGACAATGAATGTACAGATTTCTAGCATTCAGCTCAGGCAAGCTAAAATGGAATCTTTAATTTAAACAATAAAGTTTTTATTTTCCAAAGGAAAAAGGATGGGAGAGCAGGCATGAATGCTGATGACAAATACCCAAAGCATAGTTAGAGAAAAACGGAAGCAATGATATCTTCAAGGTGTTTAAAAGAACGGTTAACTGCACTTGTTGCAACAACTATTGAAATAACAACCACTATTTAAATAATTATTTCAATAGTAGTTGAGAGTTCATTTCAATAACAAACATAGGTTGCAAGCACTATTGAAATATTTCAGAAGTGGTTGAGATCTAGAGTGCATTTCAATAACCAACATAGGTTGCAACCAACAGTGGTTGAGAGTGGATTTAAAAAACAAACATAGGTTGCAACCACTATTGAAATACGACCACTATTTAAATTCTTATTTCAATAGTGGTTGAGTGCATTTCAATACCAAACTTAGGTTGCAACCACTATTGAAATAATGCTCACTTTTGGAGAAGATTGAAGATTTTAATAGTAATTAAACTATAGATTTTAAAAGTGATTGAAATATTGATTTCAATAGTGCTTTAACCAATGATTCCAAAAGATATTAAAATGATTATTTTTATAGTTGCTTACAATGATTTCAATACTAAACCACTTTGCAAACTTTATAGAAGTATCCGGACTTTAACATGTAAAACAATTTAAGGATGAATTTCACATTCTGTTTTCTAACACATTAATCTAATTCATTGAGTTTAAAATATGATAACTTATTTTTTTTTTAAGTTTTCCCCTTTTTCCAGAAATTTCAATTAATACACGGACACTTTATATTATACTGACCTATCTATTATTCAAACATGCATGCAAATGTTAGAAGCAAGTTCTCGCTGAATCTGGCCCAATCGGCGAAAACCAACAGACAGTCAATTAATAATATGCAATTTTGAAATAATTCTGTTATATAAAGTTCATTTTTGTCACTGATTTTGAAAGGAGAGGATCATAAATACATCTAGATAGATGTAGAAATTAGAATATCTAGACAACATTGAAATAAAGGAAGAAGACTGATAATTTTGTGTACAAACTTTCTGATGAAATATGGTTATTTTTAACAAAAAGTGTTTATTCAGGAAAACTAGATTGTCTCTCAAATTGATGGGATTATCTACATCTGCTATTTCAACAGTGATTAAAATGAGATGGTGTTTTGAAACGTATTTTTAACTTATTTTTGAAATAATCATTCATAAGTAGTCGTAATTTCATAGTAAACTCAATAAATGAATTAAAAATGTTGGAGAACATAATGAACAATTAATCTTTATATTTTTTAATAGTAAAGTTATTTCAGTAAGTCTTGCAGTGTGGTTTAAGTATTGGGTAAGTTATCATCAACTTTCAAAATAATTATTTAAATCAGTTTTGAAATCATTATTTCAATCAATTTTGAAATCATTTTTTCAATCACTATTGAAAACTTTACTTCAATTGTGAACATTATTTCAATAGTGGTTGCAACCTTTGCTTTTTAATTGAAATGTACTCTCAACCACTATTTAATATAATTATTTCAATATTGGTCGTATATCCTTAGTGATTGCAACACTTCACTTAACGCTGTGTTTTTGGGTCTTTTTCGGTAACTTCTGTTGCTTTTAAACCTTGACCTAAATTCTCTTATATATATTAACTATGGTGGTCTGTCAATTAGACACCCAATTTAAGGTAATTCCACCCTCCTATGATGTCAAAGGTTTTCGCAAAAACTGTAATTACATGTACATGTAGTTTAAATCCATACTTAATAGAACAATATCTTATGGAAGAATATTTACAATAGGTGTAATGATAAATATTGTTAAATAAAAAAAAAATTAAAAATGCATATTTTCTTTATTAATCAATTATTCAATCTTTAAAAAATGTTGACAAGGGCAATAACTCCTTCTTAGGTCTCTTCATTCAGGCATTTGCTTTATTGTACTTCTAATGTAAAATAGTTTCCCAATCTAATTAAAATTAGACCTTTCATCTCGCTCTTCGTTTTTGATATGTCAAAGCGACATATCAAAAACGAAGAGCGAGATGAAAGGTCTAATTTTAATTAGATTGAATAGTTTCCCTAATATTCACAATTCAAATCTTATAAGAAGGAAGTACTTACGAACATTCAGCATCAGAATTATGCATTTTAACCAGTTTTTATATATTTTTTCATAATACTGTTTACAAAAAATGTGCTATTTTTTATGATGTCATAAAGTTCTGTGTATTTATGTTTCGCATCTGCAATAATAATAGTTTCCTATACATTTTTTGCAATAATTGGAAAATTTTAAGTATATTATATAAAATAAATGCAGTTTTTGTACTTTGAACCATTCAAATTTTGAGGGTAGAAAAACCTTAAATAATATAATGATTTTAGATTGAATGCAATAACTAATTTCATTATTTTGTCCTTACGGTTTTCCAAATACAGATCATTTACATTTACCTGCCCTTGGTTGATCATAATGTATGTATGAGAGCTAACATATCGCAAGAATGGCAATCGCATCATCTCGGGTCTTTCCGTTAGAGGTCGGAAAAACAACCTCGATTGTATTAACATCACCAGATATTAAAAATTTATACATCTTCCTGTTTATTCAAATATAGGATAGACGAAGATAGAAGTTCCTTATATGGTATATTTTAGGTAATATCATTACATTGAATAAACATCTGCGGAATGTGGAGTTTAGCTTTATTCAATGTAATGGTATTGCCTAAAATATACTATACAAGGGAATTCCAACTCCGTTTTTTCCTATATTTGAATAAAGAGGAAATGTTTAATTATGCGCCCTGGTCGACAGATCCGGGGCGTATATTGTTTTTGTCTTGTCTGTCTGTCTGTCTGTCTGTTTGTTTGTTTGTTTAAAAACTTTAGCCTTCGCCATAACTTTTGAACCATGAAAGATAGACTCTGAGACTTAATATTAAGCTCTTTCAAATGATACCAAGGTCAATGACCTTGTGACCTTGACTGTGGTCTATATGCTAAAAATAGCTTTTTTCTGCTAACTTAAACCTTCGCCATAACTTTTGAACCATGAAAGATAGAGACTTCATATTTGGTATGCATACTCCACTAATAAAGTTCTTTCAAATGGCACCAACATCAATGACCTTGTGACCTTGACTGTGACCTTTATGCTAAAAATAGCTTTTTCGAATTTTGTTGCTGCCGGGCGCATAGTGTTTCACAAACACATCTTGTTTTTAAACATCCGGTGATGTTAATACATTCGAGGTTGTTTTTCCGACCTCTGACGGAAAGATCCGAAATGACCCGATTGGTTCGAACACTGTCATAGCTAAACACCAATCGCATCATCTCAGGTCTTTCCGTTAGAGGTCGGAAAAACAACCTCGAATGTATTAACATCATCGGATGTTAAAAATTTATACATCTTCCTGTTTAATTATTCAAATAAAGTTAGACGAAGATAGAGGTTACATCTATGGGATACTTAGGTAATTTCATTACATTGAATAAAGTTGAACTCCATATTCCACAGATGAAAGGTCTCCATGCATTAATTTCAAAGATCTTAAAAAGGGGGAGTTATAATGGCCTCAGGAGACAAAGAAGACAAACCTTGCAATTGGCTTGTTTATTCGCAAACATACTATTGTAAGACCTGAAAAAGGCAGATACTTACGGGGTATAGACAGCTAAGTGTTGTAGACTAACCAAAAGCGTAAGACCTGAATAAGGCAGTCACTCGGTTATACAGACAGGTGGCATACCACAGAAGTGGGGGAAGTGCCAGGAAACAGTACTTGTGGAGTGGCAGGACAAGAAGAAATTTATTTGCGGGAGACACCCGTTGACCATTGTCCAGTCAAGAAGAAACCGTTTATATTTGTTTTATTGTATTATAACTGTGTATAATTCTATTATTATATTTGGTCAACAAAAATTTGATTTAAGAGGTTAACGAACCGAAGTGTAACGCCTGCTGATACAAGCCATATCACCGAACACCAAGCTCGGCCGCGTTGCACGTTACAATATTATAGTTTGCAGCTCACTGTAAAGTTTCATGTTACGTCACGAACTAGTTGACAGCTGCGCTCAAGGTAAATTGTACACGCCTCCTAACCGCAAGCTTTATGACTGGAACTTTCTTCTTATCCATGATTGGTTGCTCGTGCAACAGACTATTTCCGTGTCAGTGTTGATAATCTGAGTTGACCAGTCACGTTAATTGTTTACGCTGGATGCATCTGACGAAAAAGATCGTGACATAAGGTGAAACTTTACAGTTAGCTGCAAACTATAATATATATTTTCTCTTTCTTATTTATCCAGCTCTTTCCTATTTTATTCATATGTCATCTTTTGTTATACATGTATTTAAATAATGTATCTCTGACAATTTGTTTATATAATGTATGTATATGTTATTTGAACCCCGTGTATAGCAATCTTGGTTTGGGTGAATAAAATGAACTTGAACTTGTAGATATTTACTTGTTATTTAAGGAATGGCTTTAATTCTTGGCCATATTATCGAGTATAATCTGGTTTGGGTCAGTTTACGCTTTATAATCCGCGAAGCGGATTATAAAAAAGCGTAAACAGACCCAAACCAGATTATACTCGATAATATGGCCAAGAATTAACGTCATTCCTTATAATTTAATGTTAAAATAATTAAACAACTTTTGATGTAAAATTGTGTTGCTTTTTATCAGTTCAAATTTACCGCGCAATAATACAACCGTAGTAACGGAAGTGATTTGAAGTGAGGGGAGGTAATAACTGATACATAGATCTAGCAGCCATGTTTGTTTACATGAGGTAAGAACGAGTAATTGTTTAAAGTTGAAGGTACATTTATTTAATCTTAAATTTTCCATGGATTCCGAGGACTGGAAATGAGGGGATTGCATGGATATGATGATTAAGCTGGTCGTCAAGGGGGTGTGTCCCCAAACCAAACCAGATTATACAAAATGTTTTACGTTCCTTTTTGGAAATCAACCAATGAGAGGCGAGAATACAAACAAAATTAAATTATTTACAATTACCTGTAATAGGAATATTTTGGGCTTCATAAGAAGCCCTGGGCATTTTTCTCCCTTGAGACACTCCTGGAGTTCAGCCACGGGCAGCATCATACTTGGAGTGGGGGTTTTAGGACACGAATTTCTATCCACACAGGTAATAACGCCATCTTTTCCATAGGATAAGACTACGCAGATGAAACAGTAGTCATCTTCGAAGTTTTTCTTGGCCACTATAAAAATATTGAAATAGGTCTTTAAGTAGCAAATTGATCATAAAAAGAATTTAAAAAATTGAATGAACACAAATATTGTCATCTTATAATAAGTGCAGAGCAACTTGAAGAATTTAAGAAGATGGGAGAACAAGGCAGGCAGGCATCGGGTGACGCCAGGGCTTTCCTGTCACCTCGGGGCAAATATTCTGGTATGTCACCCTCGAAGCCATGTGATATATATTATATGACATTTTTAAAATTAAAAGAAAATTTAAAATCATTCAAAATCGTTGAAATTTTCACAAATAATCCAGAAATGCTTTCTTGACGTTAAGAAATACGCTGTATTGTTTACGTTTGCTTAGCAACCGACGTCATGACATCTCGAACCCGAGCTAAAATGCGTAACGTAAAAACACGTGAACGTGATCGAAAGGATGACATAACTCTTTCCGTCGAGGGCTGACATAACTGTTTCCGGCCGGACATAACTGTTTCCGGTGTGACTCGGCATTTTTCAGGGTTTATAGCGAAACTTATTACATTTGTGACATAATAGGAAAACTTGTTCAAAAATGTTATATCGTCAAATATTATACAGCTATGGGATGGGTACGAGGGAAATAGCAAATTTATGGTTCCCCGAGGAAGGAAATAGTTTCTTACCGAGGCCGGAATTAAAAATATCTTTGTTTCCCCTAACCCGACCCTAAATTCTCAAGTTGGGTCGGTAGGTAGGTAAACAATTTTATTTTCTGAAAGCAGGTTTGAAAATACATTCTAAAATTTAATGGAGAATTACCTTTATAAATAAGAAAAGTACAAATTTTAAAGAAAGCGATTTGTGATCAAAATGCTAAGTATCATACATATGCCGTTTAAAAGCAAAATTCATGTTTAATTAATACACAACTGTAGTTGAACATGTGAAATATCTCACGCCATTACATTTATATGAATTAAATAAAATAGACAAAATTATCAAATACGGAAAGACCAGACATACGAGTATATTTTTCAAACCTTCCATCAGCCTTCAGAGCTTATAGACGACCAATGTACTTTTTTGAGGGCAATGAGATTTGCAGTGGTTCTGGAGCATTTTGCTTTGGAGTTAAGAAGTAAGTGCTTAATTTTAGATCGCAGGTTCAAATTCCAATGAGTAACGTTGAAAACGGTCCTTCAAAGGGGACCATAAAAACTTATGTCCAGTGTCGCAGAAGATGCTGGCTCAAAAAAGATCCCCCACTGCTTAATGGCAAAAAAAAAAGTGCTGAGTACGTCTAAATTTGGAGCAATGGGGAAATGTTTAAATGTCGTCCTAACAAATCTCGTAGGGATTAAAAGCAAAGAAACAACCAATCTTCAAGGGCGTAATTAAAGAAAAATGCATTGGACGTCTCAGGAAGCTGAATCCTAATTTCAAAACTATTTGGAAAGAGTATGTTAGCAATATTTAAGTGAACCAAACCGAATCTACAAATTATAAAAATGCTATTTAATATATACAATGTCATAGTCACGAAGTTTAACCACTAAACAAAGGCAGGAAGAAAGGAAATCTGAATTATATTTCCAGGCATATTTACAACAACTCCCATGGTTCCATAATGGCATATAGTAAAAATAGGATCATAGATGAACTGGTTATAAGATCAAAACTCAAATTTAGTAATATGCAGTGAATTTGAATGATGTATTCACTAGGTGGACCCCTCATCTGCTCATGAGGCAGGCCTTACCATGTATTATGTACCTTAAATTCAAAGACAGATTTGTTTGTTTGTTGTCTAACGTCCCTTTCGAAAATTTATTCACTCACATGGAGACGCAAGATACCTCCGAAACACTCTTAATTACGGGTAGTCATGATAAATTTTATTATCGAATTGTTTCAAGAGTGAAGAATTCCAATATTAGCTAAAAGCATAAGATTGAGACGTCGCCATTGTTTTATGAAGAGCTAATGCCCTGTAATCACATCTGGACGTCATTTTGTTTCCAACAAATGCTTGAAAATCACATTAGAACAATGTCGGCCGTTCTGATAAAAACTGATTTTGATGAAATTGTATTTTATAAATATTGGTTAACAATGAAAAAAATATTCGAATCATCTTATTTTAAAAATATTTTCAGTCGGTGCGATTTAATTGGGTCGGTCGCGTTAGGGGAAACAAAGGTATATTTTATTTTGGCCCGAGGGGAACCATAAATTTGCTATTTCTCGAGTTCACATTCCATAACTGTTTTATTATACCGAAACAATCATAGGCGATTTAATTTTTTTTTAACCAGATATTCCGACATTAAAAAAACACGGTAGAGGCATAATTACAAATGCATGCCGTTTAACAGATTGTATAATAAGTAATGCATTGTCCTAAAACAATTAAATTATTTTTTAAAAGTATTTTCACTGACATTTCGAAGATATAATGTTATCTTTATTTTGCTAGAATTCAAGTATAATTTTGACATCGCATGTCGAAATGTTTTGACGTCATAGTTACATTACTAATAGCATGACGTCACAGACTCGAGATTTCTTGAACGCTCCGCCCACTGAACACTTTGATTGGTCAAAATTACTTTTAAATATTCATGAGGGAGTAGTCCCCTGTCTCATCCTTGCCAAGGCCCTAGTGACGCAGAATATATGAAGCAAAACAGGGACAGGGAACCAGGCTAACGCAGGGAGTAGCTCTGATTTCCCAGGGAGTAGTCCTCGGATGAGTGAAAAATTATCTTTTCGGGGAAATAGACAGTTTTATGGTATTACTTTTATATAGAGTAATTACAGTAGAGGTATAATAAATAATATGCAATATATGAATTGAGTATTTAAATTAACTTCTGATTATTGAAATTTTTGAAATTATGAGAAAAAAAAAACTTTGTAAGAAAAAGAAAATCTCGGGAATTTTTTTTTTCATAAAATTATTAGATGGTATTCGTGGAATTTGAACTCTAGCAATAAAAATCCGACGTATCAATAGCATACTGCTTTGAGACTAACGCATTAACTACTATGCTACACTGTACATCACTCATGAAGAGTTTAGGTATTTAAATCATGTTTGTAATACTGTATGACCCGCGATTTAATGGACTTGAAGTATTTTTCGGAAAGATGCTTAGCCCCCCCCCCCCCCTCCCCAATTTTTTTTTCCAAACATATACTTAGTATTGACATATTGAACATATCTTTGTAGGTTTAGCCCCCCCCCCCCACTTTCCACAGATAGGTCTTAGTATAGGTAAAAAAAAATGCGGAAAGTGGTGTTGTTAGGAAAAAATTTGGGTACTTAAGTTCGAACCCCCCCCTCCCCCACGAAATAGGATTTTCGTGTTTGGAAAATGCACATTTCCTTTTTTTTTTTTTTTTTTTTTTGGCTTGTCTGGTTTTTTTTTACGGCAAATTTTTTTTATTTTTACACTTACCCCCCCCCCACTTTCAAATTGCTTCCGACGCCAATGATAGCATTTGAATAAAAAATATTTTAGTAGCGAAATTTGGTACCCAGTGTAAGAGTTCCATATCTTTATTTTTTTTTACACACAATTTTTTTAAGCATCCAATGGCCTGTGGTCACTAGTAACTGTATTCGTCATTACCTTCTTGCAGTAATTCAATCATTTCCTTCTTTGATTTATTCCTCTCCACAAACTGATCCGTACCACCGTGTATGTCTGTAAACCCCAAAGCTTTAAATATGTCGACTAATTCTTTAATTTTAGCATCCTCTTTTTTTATCCACTCGGAATTCAAATCACCGTCCATTTCTTCTTTCCTGATATGAAATTTCTTGCATTCTAGGCATCTAATATTTGGTACCTCATTGTCACCAAAGTGTTTTCTCTGATAATTCTGGTTTGTGACAATGAGGACTTTTCCAATTTTTTCCTTTTGAGCATACCTTTAAAAAATTAGTACACTTAAATCAATATCTTCAAATACATGCACAATAATTGTCTGTCTTAGATACTGAATGCAACTGCATGAAACTTTAAAATCGACAAACCACAGGTGAAAAAAAAGACTTTCCTGTTAACTGGTGGGATTACAAACCTAGGCCTAGGCCTCTCCTTTTTCTCTGACATTTTCTATAAAATCCGTTTCTTCTCCTTGTCTTTCAGAAGGCTTGGTGTAAAATGCGGAGGATGGAGTCTCCACAAAACTCCAAAATGGAGGGTCAGAGAGTGCAAGGGGTGGAGCCTCTTGTGTCAATTTTTATACATTTGCCCGTTTTATCTTTCAATCAAAGCTGGATACAACTGGGTTGCTTGTAGAGCTCTCCATCAGTGATAAAAAGTGCCTGTCAGAATTAATTACTGAGTCTAGATACTGGTATGTCCCAAAAATTTTATTGCAGATAATTATGTCATGCATAACATATCGCAGATCACTTTGTCTGCAAATTATCAACAATTAAAAAGTATATTTCATAATTGCTGTAAAAGCTACAAAAGCTTCTGTAAATTACAACTGAAAATGAAATTTAGCACAAAAAAAAGATAACATGACTTTCAATTATATCAACAACAAATGAGGGGACAATTTTTTGTCATCTTTCCCTAGAAGTTTAGGTAATCTAGCCCTTAGCAATTTTAACATTTGGCCCTTCAGATATTTGATACCTATACTAATAAAATCTGTCAAGACCTCATGGGTTACTGCGAGATAGCAGTGTGAATCAGACAGTTTCAATTGCACTTAGCATCTGTGATATCGCAAAACAAAATTTAAATCACAAGCACGGGCTGCATGCCCCTCATTTGTTTCTCATATCTGTAGGTCGTTTCGATTCTCATTTTGTTGTCTCTTTATCATGATGCTTGTTTCTCATTCTTTTTAGAGCAAAAAAATAAAATAAAATAAAAACAGTTCACGGCCAGAGTTCTCTAATAAAACAATCAGTTCATTTACTGATTGTTTTTTAATTTTTCTAAAATGGGATAATATTTCTGAGTGAATAATGACATCACGGCACATTTCCAACATCGGACAGTGTCTTCGACAGCAATCAGATTTCAGATGGTAATAGGTGTTTTGTAATGAGGCCGATATTCCTTGACACCTTTATATACATATCAGTCTATTTATATATATCTGTATATAATATCACCAAAAGATAATAATTTTGATGCTATTCTGTTTCCGTCAGTCTCTGTTATCGTTAAAAATTAAATAATCAGCAAAGCTGTTCCCCTCGTTGAAATGTGGTGTTCATTATTTTTTTTTATTACCGTTTCCTGTTTCTTTGTTTCTCATTTTTTATTTTATGGACTTTATAAACAAATGTCATCAGATACTGTCAAATGGTTATCACAAAATCAGGTTGGGAGATATAACTGAGTTTCATTCACTCAACTTCAATGAAATTATTTTTTTTAATTGTTTGGGTAATGTAACACTCTAACACATTCTCACGGAGTATCAGAAAATGAGATGACAGATCTAATAAGCACGTGCTAAATTTACGACAAGCACTTTGCTCCACCTCCTGCATCATCTAACACAAGAGGCTCCACCCCTTGCACTCTCTGACCCTCCATTTTGGAGTTTTGTGGAGTCTCCATCCTCCGCATTTTACACCAAGCCCTTTCAGAAAACCCTGAGCAAATGATTAATAGATTTTTCGGGAAAACCATTTAAGTTAATTCTACCTAGGCCTATTTTCTTTTTCCCTTACCCTTGACGGTACAAGCCTTTTGTATTGCAGTTTAAAATTATTTATAACATTTAAATGGTGCCAAATTGACAGACTTCTCTAGTACGTATACAAATGTGAAATTAGGTTAAAGATTTAAAAGCATCAAAAGCGACCATAAAAGATCCAGACTACATCGTTTTTAGGTGCAGTTATCCAAACTTCACACAGAGAATCGCCTAGAAATGCTAAATACTAGCTACAATGTAGGTAATACTAGTATAATAACAACATCTAAACTAAGCTAGATATATGACCCTGCTCTCTGTCCAAAAAGACAAACCTTGTAAGAGGTGTTAACAAATTCAATTTCAAACAGTCAATCAATTATGAATCTCTTCACCATTTAACTACAGTATATACAGAGATTACAAAAAGAAATATTTTTGATTTTAAATCTATAAGGCATGCGTGAATAAAAAAAACTAAACAAAAAAATGAGTGTGTTGCTATAAATGTGAAGTATGGGAATTTTGGGCCGAAGAGCATATCTTATTGATTTTTCTTATAAACGAACAAACTTTCTCAGAAAGCAGTGTTTATTGTTATTCATGATATGTTAAAAACTAATTACTTTTTTAAAATTTTATGTTTTTCTGTTAAGGAGGTTCGCATCTCAGTTTTTCAGCAGATTTCTGCACGTCTTGGTCCCTACACTGAAAACATAAATTTGTCACGTTGACCAGATTTGAAGTCATTTTCTTCCGTTCAGTTAGTCAATACATAATTTGATTATCTGTTTCCTCAACATTACCAGTCTCTGGTCAACTTGGACTTGTGACTGGTCATTTTGTTTATATTTATTGGCGGGAAGAAACAATAGCGTCGGTCGCCATTTTCCTCCCAGGAAAACACGAAGTGATGGTAAGTCATGTTTTGTTGTTTTCTTGTTTTAGACAAATAATTCTATAAAAAACTTATTCAAAAAATGTTCTACAGAGAAATAATGTTGTAATAAACAAAGTACTCGATATTTTTCCTCAATAATTGTTGTATTTTACATTATTATGATACATGTAGGTTAGGATGTGGGTTGATTGTGTTCAAGCAGATTTTTGCATATTCAATTAATGCAAACAGCTCAAATCGAACTTGGTCTAAAATTCAACGATTATTACATAGGTATTATTCTTTTACAACTCACAGTATGGCATGGACTCACTGAATGGACAAACAAATCAAAATACAATGCATTGTTACGAATATTTAGACAAGATGAAAACCACATTAGGTACACGAAGATGTTACCATGAATAGAAGAAATAAGGTAGGATTACACGTACTGATAGCTTATATTTTCAGTATAATGGTGATTTACATAGAACTTGTTATTTTTTATAAAAGAAAATACAAATCGACTAGTCCCTTATGTACATGTACTAACTCTCCACTCAGTACTATACTGGCCTGCTTCACCAAATATTATTCGTATTCCATTTTTTTATTTATAATACATGTATATGTTAAAGGCATTTAAAATAAAATCACAATGGTTTGTAGTTAACCCATTTCTGACGAAAACAGCCAAACAAGAAGAAAACAGAACTGATGATGATTTCATTCACTTGTGCCATGTTTGCTAAGGTAAACGTAATTTTTCAGTCATTTTAATTGTATGTATTAAACGACTAAAGGTACCCGTTATTTTCTTCTTAATACTACATAAATAGCTACTAGTATTTAACTAAATTTATATCTTGATTTCCTTTCAGTATAAATAAATTTTGTTTTCATATACTTTACTTTTGCCATCAAGCAACTTAAATACGTAAATTAAGTAAATTATAAAGACTATTCTTCATTGCAGGACCTATGAAAAAGAATTTGTAATGATCAAAGAAGAAAACAACCAGTAAATATATTCCTCTGAGGTAGGAAAACAAAGCAACAACTGGAAGGGTGCAACGAGAGACTGTTTCCTGAAGTTATTTCTTTGATTGATTAGAAATCATTTACAAACAGTAAAACTAATTTGCTTGAAAATGTATAAATATCTATGTATGCTTTATACCGGTATGTAGGTGTCTGTCTCTTTTAAATTTTTACAATGTCTTTATCCAAATCTTATGTTTTTTAAGATGATCAGTTTATTATTTGTGTTTATTTGGTGCATGAAATAACCATATTTATGAAATTTTATAATAAATAGTTCAAATTTTAGTTGTATAATTGTTATATTTTGTATCTGAAGGGCATTGATGCGTGATAATCAAAATGATTTGACGCGCATCGTCATCATGATTTCCAATATCGTCAAAATGCCTAGAAATATAACTAATTGACAGTCATTTTGATATGAAATGATAATTACTTTGAATATCGGAATCTATCATTATGACAAGAATACAGTCAAATAAAATCGTTATAGTGTACTCATGGTGACTTTCAATTAGTCAAGGTAGACTATCGAGTTAGTCAGTATGATTTTTCTCGAGTCGTCAAAATGAGCTCAACACATCGTCTAATTGACTAACTGCACCCTCATCTGGGGGACAATCAATCTGATTATTTTTTTAGGTCATGGTGACTAACTTAAATTTTCAGTGTATTTAAAAATTTCTTCATAATAATTTAGCTCTTACGATAAATGTTAATTCTATAATGCTAATTAAACTATAATTTAATGCAGACCCAATGATTAAATTCCATACCAAAAAACATTTAGTGAGGAACTAAATTTTGTGGCGTGTTTTTTAGAAGAAAAATATCATTTTTTTTCGATTTTCGAAGTATTCAGTATTGTTAAGTTTGGATTCCTTTTTTTACGATGGCCGATATGAGCCGTCAAATTACAAGTAAGAGTAGTGCTATTATGTACGCAGAATTATTTGACTTTAGTAGTATTACCTGTATCATTTTGTACATGTACACTTTGTCAATGGCAAAACGCATGTAGTAGTAATAGTAATTTGTACATGTACAAATCTTGAGACAAAATACACTTGAGACTACTTAACATTCCTTAGATTTATTGGGAAGATTATCTGTAAACTTAGAAGGGACAAAATCAAAAACATGTGTTATCTGATTTTTCTTCTATTTTCTCCTGTTCCTTTCATTTTTAGTTGTCATGTGGCGGATTTAAGGGGGGCGCACCCGCCCCCTAAAGTTATCAAAGTTAGCGTAAATCAAAGTTTCGTGTAGAAAATGTAAATATGTCTACTTTGTAGACCTCTTTTTTACCATACAAAATCTCTAGAATCCAGGAGCTTCCGGAGGCTTCGCCCCCTGGGCCCCCAACAGGGCTTTGCCCTGTACCCACTGGACCCAGACCCCCTGCCTATTTTTGACGCCCCCTTTAACTTCAATTCCTGGGTCCGCGCCTGAAATTAATATTGTTTACCTTACATCAATTGATCACAAAATGCAACAATATTTTTTTTTGGTCTTTGATCTCAAAATTTAAATTTTTTCATCATAGAATATTTTGTAAGTGTCTTTTTTATTTAGTTTCCTCTTGGTTTTGTAAATTCTAACTTTCACAACAAAAAACCTTCATTCGTAGGCCCCAAAATACCGGTTAAAGATTCCAGAAACAACGGAGCTGCATCTTTATTATTTCTTTACCCGTCAGATGAAAATCTGTCGCTTGATGATCTGCGTAAAAAATGTGTTTATTTTTCATTCTATGCTTTGCCCTGTTTCCATATTACTTTTTCTTCATTATATTTTTTTTTCATTGGTACGAGTAAAAAAAAAATCGAATCAGGAAATACATAACGTTTTACATAAAGATGTAGCTGATTTACGATGGATTCTGAAAAAAGACTCTCACAAATTATGCCTTCAATGATGGAAAACCCTGACAGATAAGATCACTGACAATGTTTGTAAAATCAAAATCAATCCTGCTGTTTTAAATATCATTAAAAGAATTGGAATACAGCATTAACATGTATTTACCCACACTCATTCCTAAAAAAAAAATAAAAAAAAAAACACATGTTTTTGTTTAGTCTCCGTCCCAAATTACAGAAATTACAGAATGTTTCCTCGATAGTTCAATCAAGTGACAGATTTTCATCTGGCTGGAAAAAATAATAAAGATGCAGCTCCATTGTTTCTGGAATCTGTAACCAGTATTTTGGGACTACGAAGGAGGTTAAGATTTTGTTATCATGAGAGGTTAAAAAAAATTCCAGAGAAATCTAAATAGAAGCAAAATATTCTATGATAAAAAAATTAAATTTTGAGATCAAAGACAAAAAAACAATATCGCTTTATTTTTTTGATCAATTGAAGTAAGGTGCAAAACATTTATTAAACAACTAAAATGGGGGAAATTAACAGGAGAAAATAGAAGAAAAAACAGATAACACATGTTTTTGATTTTGTCCCTTCTAAGTTTACAGATAATCTTCCCAATAAATCTAAGGAATGTTAAGTAGTCTCAAGTGTATTTTGTCTCAAGATTTGTACATGTACAAATTACTATTACAACTACATGCGTTTTGCCATTGACAAAGTGTACATGTACAAAATGATGCAGGTAATTAATACTACTGAAGTCAAATAATTCTGCGTACATCATAGAACTACTCTTACTTGTAATTTGATGCGGCTCATATCGGCCATCGTATTTTTTACATGCAGATTGTTCACAAAGAAATTTTATTTAGTCAAATGTTCTATGCTTGTCCTGAAATATATATTGAATTAACTGTAATGAATTCTATCATCATATTTGGCAAATATATCAAATAAATCATGTAAATCCTTGAAAAAAATCACAAAATTTAAGCTTGAAACGGGAACCTATGTAGGTACATCACAGAACCCCACTTTTATTCCATTTTCTTTATATGAGTAGTCATATACGTAAAAATAAAAAAAGCAATAATAGGATAAAATGTGACCAAATAATAGAAAAAAGAGCCTTGAAACATATACCAAGAACAAAATATGATATTTCATTTTAGTTGGCAATGGTTGCCAAGGTTTTTATACCACAGAGAGCCTTCAAAGTAACACTCTGTATGTTTAAATCTGATCCTATCTTTTAAAAAAGCACATTTCTTCATAACTAATGATCAATTTTCAAAGATGTTGGTGTGCTCCAAGTTTTCCCATTTGAAAAAATTCAGACTATATTCTTTAAATAGAACGTTGCTATGGAAATAAGCAGAAAATATATGCTTAAAAACCTGAAAAATATTTTCTTTCCTTGGATACGTACCCTTAAATGTAGATTCCCAAAACTTTTATGATTGATATTTATTAACAGCTAACTTGACCTTTAATTTTGACTATCATCCAATCTCCAAGTGGATGCAAGAAGTTGGCACACAGGGTTTAATATTGATATAAAGTTCACAAAATCGAACATTTTCCCTTCTTGGTAACCATAGCAACAGTGTTGTTTTCTTCATCAAATTTTATCAATATATGATATTCAACTTCAGTTCTAACTGATAAGTACTATTCAAGCTGAGTCCTTTAATTTGCTTCTTGATTAAATGGCAATTTAATTCTTAATGCAGCGAAAAACAATTCACTTTTAAGCACTGGTACTTTGGATCCATGGTAACACTGCAAAGTAGCAATTATACCCAATTTTTCTTATGGTTTTGGTGTTGCAAGGTCCTAAGGATGCATATTTGCCAGTCTTGAATTTTCATGTTTTTCCTCAAGACAGTAGCATTAACCCAATCTTAGTTACTGGTTTTGCATGGTTTCACTGTGTTACCATGGCAACCATAAAAGTTATTTATAGAATAATATTGCTTATACTTATATACTTAAGGTCAAACATTTTCATTGTTTTTCTTTAGTCGTTGATTGAGTTTGAGCATGTAACACCTCCCATTAGTGAATACGGAGTTTTTTTCAGCATATTTCAGCATTTCAAATGTATTCCAAATGTGCCCTTGGTTACCACTTACTTAGAGATATATTCTAAATAGTTTCTTTACAGTATAAGTGACATCAAGGTGTCATGTTTTTGTGAAAATGGTTTGTTTGCTTTTTCTGTTTTTTATTAAGCGACAGTAAAGATTTAAAGTGGCTGAAAATCTTGATTTTTCAAACTTTTCCGGCTCTGCCATAGCAACCGAGACACATAGCAACGAAATTTGTTTGATATTTGTTTCTGGTGTCAAGTACTAAGCATGGGTGAAGTTTCATCAAAATCGGTGACCATGCGTGGCAACGAAGTTTAAGTGGTTACAGAGAATGGCTATTAAAACCAAAAGAAAAATCTTGTCACATGTACAAGGAATAAATCTGAAAGTTTTTGCAGACAAACAGACTGACAGCTGGATGGACAGGGCAAAAATTATATTCCCTTCAATCTTCAATTACAGGGACATAAAAACATTCGAGAGATTGATGGAAATATTATGTTCTTTGGAATGCATTTTTTTCACAAGAAAGACCTCTGTACAATTAAATATTTAGTACTATTTAAGAAAACAGTATTGTATAGGACAACAATAACGTAATTTTGCATCATTATGAGCTTGTAAAAAGTTCTATTAAAGTGGCAATATCACGCATCTCTTCAAAAACAGACTTGTTAAAATTTTCCTATAGGATTTGGAATTTTTTTTCATACTCATAAATGTATACACTTTCAGAAAATTACAAATTTTATAAGTAAATAATTCTGATTATTTCATTAAAATTAATAATTATTTATGGTACATAAATATATACATCGCAACGTGTTCGAGGTTCCACATTCCATGCTATACACGCATGCGTATAGTTTTCATAAACAAAAACAGCATGGTAAGAGAGGGAAGCCCGGTATGCCTGCTACATTGACAAAGTCGACCAAAACGAAAAACAAAACCAAAAATATGGCTTGAAATTAAAAAACAACTTTCCTGACAAAAATTTAGTTGGGAGATTAGAGCAGGTTGCAATAGACCTAAAGGATTACACTGTTTGTGACGTGCTCATGCTTTGCTTGTCGAGAAGTTTAAATACTACGTCACATTGTCACCACGTCAAAGGAAGTAACCGCGATCGCTTCTCTCCCACGCTAAAGTCGGTCAGCTGCAATACACATACAAAAGCGGACAGACAATCCAGTCTTCCTTTTATCGAATATTTCCTGCACAAATCTTATTAAACAGCTGAAAAAGAGCATAAATTATGTCAAAATACTAAATGAATTAAAACTTGTGCATATTTTTGCTTAGAAAAAAAATACACACGTATGATAGTTTCTCTCGCTCTCTACTAGTATTTTTCTCTCTCTCTCTCTCTCTCTCTCTCTCCAGGAAACGCTGCATACATATATTTCGCTATATTGTATCATTGATGTTTCTGATTTTTCATAAATTTGGCTCTTGATCTTAATTTTAATTATCCGTAAGCAAACATCAAACCCATTCTGATTGCTCATATACAACATACTACTGTAGAATTTAAAAAAAATGTGCATTACTTTTAAGAGAACTCCAAAACACATTTTCGCAATCCTTTATAAAACTAAGATTGCAGTACATTGTAAGTACATTTATATCCGTAACAGGGAACACAATGCCGAGCACTACGTACGCAGAGATTTTGCAAACATCAACATCCTTCATATATGGGGGAGTGGGTTTAGAAAAGAAACAGGTGCGACTGTGGGACAACTTTATCACATACTTAAGACAATATTTAATAATTACGCGAATCAATTCATTTTTTCCCAGATCTAATGCGCCATACTTAATCTAATACGACGCTTAGAGAAAATAGCTTCCAAAATATTTATCAAGAATTCATACTTGTAATGAAATTATTTTTTATATTTATTTTGCATTAACACATTCAAGTGAAAGAAAAAAGGAACTAGAGAAGATTGCTCCTTGTTACAGCAGCTGTCTATATAATAAATACGTACACCTTTAGAAAATGAATACATACACTGTGTAAGTAAAGGGACGCTCAGGAGGGGGCTGGTGAAATTTCCGCTTCAGGTTATTCATTTTCATATCATAATGTAAGTCAGGGACGGATAACATTTTCTTTTTTTTATCTGAAAAAAGTTTGACTAAAGAAAAAGAGAATCTCTTTTTCCGGTGGGGGTGGGGTGGGGGTTAAAAGAATTAGTCAAGGTCAGATTATTTATTTTCTTGCTGGTCGAGGATAGTTTTTTTAAACAGCCTATTTATTTCCAAAATCTACCAGACCCCTCTCTAGGAATCAGGAAGTGTATGTTTATTTAGATTAAGGCTTTATATTCTGTCGTTCGGTATTAATTATACTGAGTACTATACATACAAAGAACTATATATGGTTTCTATATTATTAAAAATAAATTGAACATCAATCGATAAAATTTTAATGTTAATGCACACGTCACGTCTCCCCCAGTTTCCCTCTGTACCATTTCTCTCGAATACAAGTATATGCATAGAGAGGGGGCTCTATTTTTCAGCAGTATTTTGTACTACTCTCTAGTAAATGGCAACAATCTCAGAGTGCATGACTTGGAGTGATACGCGAAACTAATAAATCTATTGAACAATGAATCGTGTACTATACATGTACGCAAATATGAAAAAGATAAATTTTACAATAGAATAAAATAATTGACCAATTTAAATATTCGAAATGGACTAGGAAAAAAACCATAAAATATTTTAATTGGTTAATTCAAGTTTTAAAGACATTTAACTGTGCAGGTAATACTCAATAAATCAACATCGGGACTGTCTACTCCATTTTTTGAACCCAACAAACACGCTGTATGTTGCAGCTGACCGACTTTAAAGTGGGAGAGACTCGATCTCGGTTACGTCCTTTGATGTGGTGAGAATGTGACGTAGTATTTAAACTTCTCGACAAGCAAAGCGTCAGCACGTCACAAATAGTGCAATCCGTTAGGTCTATTGCAACCAGCTCTAATATAATCATTGGATAAAGAAGAATTGGGATTTCGACGACATTCCCATGGGGCTCGCGAAGGTTCTACCCTACAGGTTTGTTGATACATGCTATCATTTCTCGTTTCTCCATAGCTTTCAAAGAAAAAAATTCAGTGTAAACTCAACGTTAAAATGCACTTATGACATATAAAATTTATTGCCATTTGAAGTGCAAATTGTATTGGAACTACAGAAAGGTATTATGTTTGACATTTTGCCGCGATGGCGTATGATTTCCTGCACCCCAATACACAAAACGTCAACATTTGTACTTAATCATGTTAAATTCGTCTGAATGCAGACTAATATGTTAAGGTATTCAATGTATAACGACCATATTTTGTACCTAATAAATGAACGGTCCAATATTTTTAATCATGGTAGCAATTTGAAGATATTATCAAATGAAAATGCTCCACCAAAGGAATTTACAAAATTTTGATTATTGTCCAATTAATATCACTTTGAATTTTACATTGAAGTCTATGGGCAGTGCATGTTTTTATAAGATATTGTAAAAAGTAATTTGAATTTCAAAGAAATCTCTTGGTGAAAATATGCATAAATTCCCTCTATATTAAAATATAAAATAAAATAAATTATTTACCGCAGAAATTTTGTGAAATCAAAAATTAATTTCAAAAACTGTAAAGATGATGTTATAAGTCTTGTGAATTTGGTTTATTTCACTTTTATAGCTGTGTGCTTTTAACTAGTTTAAAATTATTTAAAATCAGTCAAAATCCCTTCGTTATACATTGAATACCTTAAGTATTATCAATTTACAGGAGAGTTAAGATATTTTGATTCTCAAAATTGATTTTACCTAATATTCCATTATAATTGCAAACCCTACATTGTATGCACGTGCCATTTCAGAATTCACGTGGTACAAGTAAACAGATCTGAGTTGTACGACCCTTGATTTTCCGGCAGATTCTAATTACGTTAATTTTGTATGAGGAGTGAATATTGATTTTTCTCAAATGCTTAATTCAACTTTTTACCTTATTCCTGTATGATATATTGGGTAAATTTGAATGAAAAGGCACATGATTTGCAGCCGTATTGCCGCTTTAAAGCTGTATTACAAATCTGAACAACAGAAGTTTATAAATGTTCTCTTTTCTCTGTCCTTGAAATAGACAATGACAATTTGGCAACAGAAAATTTTGACATTAAAATCGCAGTTCATATATTACTGTAACCAGTGGCAGTTGGCAAAAATCAGTTGGCTGTACATCTAAAACTCCATACTGCTCTGGTTTATATTCTTCAATATCAATTTCTGGATCCTCTTGGTCTTTTTTTAATTGAAAATCACTTTCCATATGTGTTAATTTCCTATCTAAATCATTTGTTTAATTATCCTGTCATCACTGTCAATACTAAACATTTTTAAATTTCCTTTCTGGATTATCTGCCATACCACCCACCCACCCTTAAAAAAACATTTCAAAGGCTATGGGAATTAATGTCCGAGCCGTTAATGGTGGATAAAATGACCAATAAGATTCACCAGTTCCATTTAATGGGGCAGATGAGTACCTGTTGATGGGGATCAGATGCTCAGAAATAAGAAAAATATGACTTGTCATCATTAATACAACATTTATTGTAATTATTGTAAATCAAATTTGTACATATACATCTGAAAATACTTATTTCAATGACTAAAGAATGTAATTTTGCATATAGTGATTTGTAAATATATCTAATATATAATCAAAATATTTTTCAAAACACCTGTTTGCTATAAATTCAAGGTGAAAACTTTGTTGCATAGTTAAACTACATCTCCCTGGTATATAGTTGATCACTATCTTACATTTTTATCATTGATCATGTTGATCTGCAATATAACATCGTGATCCTTAATTATCACATACTTCTTTGATGAATTTGAGCAACCGTTAATTGATACACTGTACGAATGCCTATAGTTATCACATAGATCACGGTGCCTGTGAATAATTCCTGTTGTAACAGAGCATGATGTCTAAAATGAAGGCACTTAGAAATTCATTTCTGCTCACATTTTCAGGAAGACTATTGTTAAAATTTTTCAAAAGAAATCTCTTGCATAAGATGTTTTTATATAACATATAAATATGAAATTGTTAGAAAGTACCTAAATAAAAATGAACAAACAAACAAACAAAACAAAAAAAAATGATCGAGACAAAAAAGGTGATGAGCAACTAATATATACATGTAAATGGTACTGTAACTTTCAGTTAAATAAAGTATAAAACACTGATTGAGCATCTATCGCAAAATAATGTAACTAATGTACCAATGTAACAGAGCACATTAATAATGATAAAGAACTATTGATACGTTCTACCCTTACTGATGAAATAATTTGTTGATTAAAACTTAGCAATTTCTTGTAATTTGGTATCAAAAAAGTTAGGTCCAGAAAGGGATACAATGACTGAAACCCCAAACCAAATACAGAAAATGTGTCTTACACATTCACAATTTGGACACTTCGTTTCAAATTTCCATTATCCAAATTATTTGAATGTTTTAGAGATAAAGATTGCAAAAATTGTTAAGTTTATACATTGGCTACCTTAAAAAAAAGGAAAAATAATCAAAACCCAATACAAATAACTATTATATAATATCATAAAAACATTACTTCTTGTAACTAGATAAAACATTAAATATTGTATCCATAATTTTTGTAGAAAATTCATTTTTACAAAAACTAAAAACGACAAAATTTAAATCTCCTGAAAATACTCCAACAATCTACAAAGTAGAAGTTCTATTATTGGATTCCTTTTCCCAAGCACTGCATCACTAGCTTCTATTGCTGAATTCTTTTTCCCAGATAAACCTCTTTGGTCAGAAGGGAGGTAACACATGGCAATTCCTTATTGCCTGTGCCTTCCCCTTCGTAGTACTTGCGTACCAGATTGTTCATTCTGGTTAGCAGCCTCTGTATCTCCAAAGGCTCCTCTTTATCTTTGACATAGTTGTTCAGGCCTTTGATCCATGCTTTGATGGCTGTATGAGAAATAAGTTTATAGAAATTATAAATTTTATAGAAATTATAAATTTTTTTGAAATTATAAATTTTTTTGAAATTATAGATTTTTTGGAAATTATAAATTTTTATTTTAACTTACAATGGACACTAGTATAATACATACTATTACTAAATAAAAATTCAGAGACTGTCAATTTACTTTAAATGTATGCAATTTCTTTTTATTGATGGACTTTTAAAAGCATACTGGTTGCTTTAATTAATATAATACAAGATATATTTATCAGAATAAAGCAAATGATTATTTTATTAAAATCAAAACTTTTAGAAATTAAACAATAACATTTTAATATTAATGGAATTAAAAAGATGTTGCATTATTTTATTTTAATTAAGTTTGGACCAGAAGAAAATGCATGTGACATTAGGAGCTAATAGACTTCTGAGCATACAATTTTTTTTAGATCTAGGAGCAGATCGATGTTCACATTAGAGACTATTTCTTAATGGAACTATGACATTCAAAGGCTACATTTATGTCATTTATAGACCTAGTTGTAGATCTTCAAGCCTTTGACTCAGAAGAACTACAAATATGTAAATGGTGTATTGTACAGAATTGTTCTGATCTGTGTTGTTAGGGTGTGAATAAGTAGGTGACTTATAACTACAAGTACCATAATCTGTCTCACAGTTGTAGATGAGAAAATCTGCTTCTCTGGGAATTTTCAGTAATTTAGTAGGTTGTTCTGCATGACCTTTTGTGTCATCTGTATAATCTCCTGGAACTGACTCCAACTGAAAAGATAATTCTCAGTTGAATAAATACAGTCAAACTTCATAGGATTAATTCTCAGTTTAATGAATGCAGTCAAGTTTTGGCATCGGGGTCATGATTTGAAGAAACTTGAATTTACACCACCTGAGGATGATTTCACATAAATATGATCAATTAAGGCTTTGCTGTTCTTGAGAAGCAGATTTTTTTTGAAAATTGTCCTATATATTCTCATGTAAAATATAATCAACCATTGTGGCCCCACCTTACCCCTGAAGATCATGATTTGCACAAACTTGAATCTACACAACCTGAGGATGCTTCCATATACTGGTAAGTATGACCAATCATGGTCTTGAGAAGAAGATTTTTAAAGACTTTCCCTGTACATTCCTATGTAAAACTTTGACCGTTCATCGGGTCCCACCCTACCCCCATGGGTCATGATTTGAACAAACCTGAATCTACACCACCTGAGGATACTTCCATATAAATATGACCATCCACGGCTTTGCTGTTCTTGAGAGATTTTCCCTGTACATTCCTATGTAAAACTTTGACCGTCCATTGTGGCTCCATCCTACCCCCGGGGGGCATGATTTGAACAAACTTGAATCTACCTGAGGATGCTTCCATGTGAGTTTCATCTTTCTTGGCCCAGTAGTTCTTGAGAGAAAGATTTTTTAAAAGAATGCCATTAATTTTTCAATAATCCATATTTATCTCCCCTTGCGAAAGGATGTTGTCCTTCATTTGAACAATCTTGAATCCCCTTCACCCAAGGATGCTTTGTGGCAATTTTTGTTAAAATTGGCCAAATGGTTCTTGAGAAGAAGATGAAAATGTGAAAAGATTACAATGACAACGACAAAAACAATGACAGACAACAGACAATTGTGATCAGAAAAGCTCACTTGAGCCTTTGGCTCAGGTGAGCTAACAAGGTTTATTTAAAAATTACCTGTAAAAGGAATATTTTGGGCTTCATAAGAAGCCCTTGGCATTTGTCTCCCTTGAGACACTCCTGGAGCTCAGACACTGGCAGCATCATACTTGGAGTGGGGGTTTTAGGACACGAATTTCTATCCCGACTGTCGTCTACGCAAGTAATCACGCCATCTTTTCCATAGGATAAGACTACACAGATGAAACAGTAGTCATCTTTGAAGTCAGCCTTGGCCACTATAGAATACAAAATAGTTCTTAGCAAAATGATCATAAAAAGAACAAAATAACTGAATGAACACAAGTATTGTCATCTTACAATAAGAGCAACTTAAAGAATTTAAAATTTTCTGAATATAACTTATTAAAGCAAATGTGAGAATCAAAATGCATATAAAAAAGTCATTGGACAGATGACCTAATTTCCACATTTACTTTCAAATAGCTATATTTAAAGGGAAAAAAATATAGCAAATTAATAAGTCTAGAGAAAAGGATAGAAATGCACCATGTATTAAACTGTGTCCATGACAAGATGGGAGTAGAAAAATAATTTCCTCCATAGAAACTATAAAGTACAATGTTTCCACTTATTTTAATCTTGCATATACACATTGTACCATCTTTAGCTTGACGACATAGAGGATATGTAATATTTTGCACATTTAAAAAATTTTTGGCAGTTTTTTGTCTTTGTATTGATGATCTATTTACTCTCTCTATCTTATAATTAACAGGCTGGGAAGTATTTTTGACAACATTCTATACCAAGGGAAATCAAGACTTTTGCCTAAATCCTGATAATTATTCTCCTATATTGTTTCACTTGTAAATGTAGTACATGTACACGTAAATTGTCATACAGTCAATGTTACTAGTAAACGTATTCGTGATCACCTTCTTTCAGTAATTCAATCATTTCCTTCTTTGATTTATTTGTCTCCACAAACTGATTTGTACCACCGTGTATGTCTGTAAACCCTAAAGCTATAAATGTGTGGACTAATTCCATAATGTCAACATCCTCTTTTATAATCCACTCAGAATCCAAATCACCATCCTCCTCTTCTTTCCTGATGTGAAATTTATGACATCTTTTGCACTTATCTGGTACGTCATTCTCACAAAGGTCTTTTCTATAATAACTCTGGTTTCTTACAATGAGGACTTTTCCACTTTTTTCCTTCTGAGCATACCTTTAATTATATTAAAAAAAAATATTTACACTTAAATCAATATCTTCAAATACATGTACAATCATTGTCTGTCTTTGATACTGAATGCAAGACTTGCAAGTGCATGTAACTTTAAACTCGACAAATCACATGTGAAAAGAAAAACAAATACACTTTCCCGATAATTTAATAAAAATAGATATGAAAGGATTACAGACCTCTCCTCTGACATTTTCTACAAAATTCTTTTCTACTCCTTGTCTTTCATAAAATTTTGAGCAATTATTAGGCCCCCTAATAGTTTTTTCTCTCGGGAAAACCAATCATCTACTTATGCCTACTTAAGTACTTTCTTTTTCCCTTACCCTCAGTCAAAATTTTAAACTGCAATTAGGCTAGTAAGAGCCTTACATACGGAAGTATACAAGCATGTTGTATTGCATCTTCCCAAGTCAAGAGTTTCTGATCCGCTCCGCTCCATGTTTATGTGGAGCGGAGCGGATCAGAAACTCGAGACTTGGGAAGATGGATATATTTCAAGTTTTAATATATGGATATATTTCAAGTTTTAATATATGGATATATTTCAAGTTTTAATATATCTGACCCATTGACTTTGACCTTTAATTAAAACCAAAAGAAATATCATGTCACAAGGAATACGTATCTGAGATATAAAAGTCATAGCCCCGTCAAATCAAAAGTTATGAGCAAGGTTAAAGTTTTTGCAGACAAACATCTGGATGGATTGACAGAGCGAAAATTATGTAACCCTGTAGCCCTTTTCACAAAAATTCTTACGACTACGATTAAAATTTGATGACTCTATAATTCCGTTGTTCAATGAAAAAAATTATTAAATCTAAAGAATAATTCACAACATTCTCCTATGTAAAAGAAATATAAGATTTGTTGCGACTTACTCTAATCTAGATGCGTATAAAAAAAAACTTGAATATTCTAATCTCAGTCGTAAGAAATTTTGTGAAAAAGGGCTACCGATCATTTCTACACTACCCAACCTGACCTCATCTGTGAAATCCAAGTACCACCCATAGCTATGTCTGACCATTACCCTGTTTGTGCAACACGCAGATCTAACAGCATGCAGCGTAAGGGAAAACACACTGAAATTCAATACCGTGACTTCAAGAATTTTAATGATGAATTTCTTTCCGATTTAAAAAGTGTCAACCTTCAATTACTGGGACATAAGTTAAAACATCCAAGAGATGGATGCAAATATTATGTTGTATGGGATACATTTTTAAAAAAAGATCATCTGTATAATCAAATATTTAGTATTGTTTAAGAAAAACAATATTGTACAGGACGACATTAATGTAATTCTGCATCATTAAAAGATCCTAAATAGTTTTACTGCAGCTGTATTACAAATATGAACAGCATAAGTTTACAGTTCTTTTTCTCTGTCCTTGATATAGTCCATGACAATTTTGCAACAGAAATTTTTAACATTAAAACCGCAGTTCATATATTGCTTTAACAAGTGGCAGTTGGCAAAAATCAGTTGGCTGTACATCTAAAACTCCATACTGCTCTGGTTTATATTTCTGGATCCTCTTTGTCTTTTTTAAATTGAAAATCACATTCCATATGTGTTAATTTCCTATCTAAATCATTTGTTTAATTATCCTGTCATCACTGTCAATACTTAATATTTTTAAATTTCTTTTATGGATTATCTCTCATATCAGCCCCCCCCCCCCCAAAAAAAAAAAAAACAAAAAAAAATTTCAAAGGCTAAAGGTATGAATGAGGATGTAATGATGGATAAAATGACCAGTAAGATTCACCAGTTCTATTTAATGGGGCAGATGAGTACCTGGTGATGGGCATCAGATGCTCAGAAATAAGAGAAATATGACTTGTCATCATTAATACAACATTTATTGTAATTATTGTAAATCAAATTTGTACATATACATCTGAAAATACTTACATGTATTTCAATGACTAAAGAATATTATTTTGCATAAACTGATTGTAAATATATCTAATATATAATCAAAATATTTTTCAAAACACCTGTTTGCTATAAATTCAAGGTGAAAACTTTGTTGCATAGTTAAACTACATCTCCCTGGTATATAGTTGATCACTATCATACATTTTTATCATTGATCATGTTGATCTGCAATATAACATCGTGATCCTTTATTATCACATACTTCTTTGATGAATTTGAGCAACCATTAAATGATAGGAATGCCTATACTTATCACATAGATCACAGTGCTTGTGAATAATTCATGTTGTAACAGAGCATGATGTCTAAAATGAAGGCACTTGGAAATTAATTTCTGCTCAACATTTTTAGGAAGACTAATGTTCAAATTTTTCAAAAAAAATCTTTTACATAAGATGTTTTATATAATACATGTATATAAATATGAAATTGTTAGAAAGTACCGAAATAAAAATGAACAAACAAACAAACAAAACAAAAAAATGATCGAGACAAAAAAGGTGATGAGCAACTAATATATACATGTAAATGGTACTGTAACTTTCACTTAAATACAGTTTATAACACTGATTGAGCATCTATTGCAAATTAATGTAACTAATGTACCAATGTAACAGAGCACACTAATAATAATAGAGAACTATTGATACGTTCTACCGTTACTGATGAAATAATTTGTTGATTAAAACTTGAATATTCTTGCAATTTGGTATTAAAAAAAAGTTAGGTCCAGAAAGGGATACAATGACTGAAACTTCAAACCAAATACAGAAAAGTGTCTTACACATTCACAATGCAGGCACTATCATTTTGTTTCAAATTTCCATTATTCAAATCATTTGAATGATTTAGAGATAAAGATTGCAAAAATTGTTGAGTTTTATACATTGGCTACCTTAAAGCAACTACAAAGACAAAACAATCAAAACCCAATACAAATAATTATTATATAATATTATAAAACATGAAATATTGTACTCAAAATTTTTTTTACAAAAACTAAAAAGGACAATATTTTAATCTCCTGAAATTACTCAAACAATCTACAAAGTTTTTAACAAAGTAGAAGTTCTAATATTGGATTCTTTTTCCATACAAACACTGTATCAATAGGTTCTATTGCTGAATTCTTTTTCCCAGATACACCTCTTTGGTTAGAAGGGAGGTAACACATGGCAATTCCACATCGCCCATGTGTTGACCTTCGTAGTACGCACGTACCATGTTGTTCATTCTGGTTAGCAGCCTCTGTATCTCCAAAGGCTCCTCTTTATCTTGGACATGGTTCTTCAGGCCTTGTTTCCATGCTTCGATGGCTGTACAAGAAATAAGTTTATAAACAAGAGGCCCAGGGGCCACATTGCTCACCTGAGTACTTTGGCTAGGTAAAAAGCAAAAATCAGTATACATGCAGCATTAAAAAGCTTAAAAGCATGAGTGGTCCTGGCATGGGCACGACTTGAACAAACTTGAATCTACACTATCTGAGGATATGCTTCCAAATAAATATGAACAATCATTGCTTTGTTGTTCTCGAGAAGAAAATTTTTAAATGATTTTTCCTATATACTCTTATGTTAAACTTTCATTGTCCATTGTGGCTCTACCCTACCCCCAAAGGTCATGGATTGAACAAATTTGAATCTAGTCACCACCTGCAGATGCTTCCATATGACAATAATGGATTCATTTTTCTTGAGAAGAAGATTTTTAAAGATTTTACTAATACACATGTATACTGGTATTCTTATGTTAAACTTTGATCATTTATTATGGCCCCACCCTAACCCGGGGTCATGTTTTGAACAAACATGAATCAACACCATCTGAAGATGCTTCCATATAAATATGACCAAATCATGGCTTTGCTGTTCTTGAGAAGAAGATTTTTTCTATATATGTATGTATATATATGAATCTGCACTACCTGCAGATGCTTCTAATTGAGTTTCATCTTTCCTGACCAAGTGGTTCTTGAGATGATTTAAAAGGTGCCATTATTTTTTTGCTAATTCATAATTATCTCCCCTTGGAAGAAGGAGTGGCCCTTCATTTGAACAAACTTGAATCCCCTTCACCCAAGGATACTTTGTGGAAAGTTTGGTTGAAATTGGCCAACTGGTTCTTAAGAAAACAAGAGGCTCATGGGCCAGATCGCTCACCTGAGCACTGTGGCTAGGAAAAAGTAGAAATTGGTTTATTATTGAAAAGTTTAAATCCAAAAGTAGTCTTATGACCAATCATGGCTTTGCTAATCTTGAGAAGATTTTTAAAGAATTTTCCTATATATTTCTATGTAAAACTTTGGTTGGTCAATTTGGCCCCGCCCTACCTCCGGGGGTCATGATTTGAACAGACTTGAATCTACACTACCTGATGATGCTTCCATATACGTATGATCAATTATAGCTTTGTTTTTCTTAAGAAGAAGATTATTTTTAAAGAATTTTCCTATATATTTCTATGTAAAACTTTGGTTGGCCATTTTGCCCCCCCCCCCCACCTCCCGGGGTCATGATGTTAACAAACAAAATTTACACTATCTGAGGATGCTTCCATATAAAAATGATCAATTATGGCTTTGTTATTCTTAAAGAAGAAGATTTTTAAAGAATTTTACTATATATATTTCAATGTAAAACTTTGGTTGACCCTTTTAGCCCCCCCTACCCCCGGGGGTCATGATGTTAACAAACAAAATCTACACTACCTGAGGATGCTTCCATATAAATATGATCAATTATGGCTTTGTTATTCTTGAGAAGAAGATTTTTAAATAATTTTGCTATATATTTCTATGTACAATTTTGAGAAGAAAATTTTTAAAGAATTTTCCTACATATTTTTATGTAAAACTTTTGGCCTCGCCTCTACCCCCGGGGGTCATGATTTGAACAAACTTGAATCTACACTACCTGAGGATGCTTCCATATAGGTTTCATCTTTCCTAGCACAGTGGTTCTTGAGAAGAAAATTTTTAAAGAATTTTCCTACATATTTTTATGTAAAACTTTGGTCGGCCATTGTGGCCCCGCCCCTACCCCCGGGGGTCATGATTTGAACAAATCTGAATCTGCACTACCTGAGGATGCTTCCATATAAGTTTCATTTTTCCTGGCACAGTGGTTCTTGAGAAGAAGATTTTTAAAGAATTTTCCTACATATTTTTATGTAAAACTTTGGTCGGCCATTGTAGCCCCGCCCTACCCCCGGGGGTCATGATTTGAACAAATCTGAATCTGCACTATCTGAGGATGCTTCCATATAAGTTTCATTTTTCCTGACACAGTGGTTCTTGAGAAGAAAATTTTTAAAGAATTTTCCTACATATTTCTATGTAAAACTTTGGTCGGCCATTGTGCCCCGCCCTACCCCCGGGGGTCATGATTAGAACAAACTTGAATCTACACTACCTGAGGATGCTTCCATATAAGTTTCATTTTTCCTGGCACAGTGGTTCTTGAGAAGAAGATTTTTAAAACATGCCACCAAATTTTTATTAATTTCCAATTATCTCCCCTTGAATGAGGGCGTGGCCCTTCATTTGAACAAATTTGAATCCCCTTCACCCAAGGATGCTTTGTGGCAAATTTGGTTGAAATTGGCCTAGCGGTTCTTGAGAAGAAGTCGAAAATGTGAAAAGTTTACAGACAGACAGACAGATGGACGGACGGATGGACAGACGGACTACAGACAAAATGTGATCAGAAAACCTCACTTGAGCCTTCGGCTCAGGTGAGCTAAAAATGTGCAAAAAATTTACAACAACGACAACAGCCAAGGGACAAATTTTGATCTGAAAAGCTCACTTGAGCCTTCGGCTCAGGTGAGCTAAAAATTAAAACTTTAATAAGAAATTACACAATAACATTTTAACATTAATTAAATCAATTAAATTAGAGATGTTGCATTATTACTTTATTTTATTCAAGTTTTGACAATAACAATATACATAAATTTAACAAATATATCACTGTTTTTTTTTTGTTTATACCGTCTTCGTTGGAAGACGATATTGTATAGTTGAAGTTTTTTACAGTCTTCGGAGTATGCACTTCCTCTCTTTTGTGATTGGTAGAAATTGCATGATGAGAAAATTTTCAACTATTTCATTGGTTGAAATGCTGTTCAAGGCAAGGGAGATAACTTTCTGATGATCTAATTTTGGTACGACCTAACAATTTTGCAAGATTTTCAATCTTAAAAAAATGACAAAACGAACAACAAAATCAGCAGTAATGAATTCTTAATAACATGGTATTTTTTATAGCAATAAATAAAAAGGTCTCTTTAATTCCATTATAATTCCATTATAATTCCAATAAAGTTTGATTTTTATTGCTTGCAGGCTTTACAAATTGTTATTATTCTTTTCCCCTTTCTTGTTTGAAGAAGGGAATGGAATCAGCCAAGGTTTGCCGAAAGCTCTCGGCCAGTCAAAGTTTACAGAGATGACCGAGCGCAATCGCAAATTCTCGGGCTTTTCCGACTAGCGGAAAAACAACCTGAGGTTGTTTTTCCGACCTCTGATGGAAAGACCCAAGATGATGCGATTGGACCAAGCAACAACCGTGGTAGGGCTAATGCCAGTAAAAAGCTAACGTAGAAATACAAAATTCAAAAGAATTAAACAGCCTGATAGGTGTAGATCAGTTTATTGTTTAAGATTGTTGCTAAAGATGGTAAGCTTTTTTAAAAAGCTCTACTTGTTTTTTTTTTTTTGGCAGTTCCATGTGACATTAGGAGCTAATTGACTTCAGAGCATACATTTTTTTTAAATCTAGTAGTAATTCAATGTTCACATTAGGGACTATTCAAGATAAAATTTATTTAAACACTGTATTTAAGATGAATATGTCATTGTATGTGTAACTGATGGAACAGCCATTGTTCAAGAAATCTACGCACGTGGCTTGCTTATTGTTGTTCATGCACTGATTAATGGCAATGGTCTTCATAAGAAATAAAGCAAAAATATTCTGTGGATTTACTGCAAATTAAACTTGTCATATTGAACAGGGCATAAAAACAACTTCTCAATTAGAATTTAGCGTGTAATGTAACTTATCTACTCTTTTTTGCCGTCTCTGATGTATGTAAACCATATCCAAAACAATTAATTATATTCCCGTACGCTGGTCACGTGTTTGACTACATCATTTTTATCAAACTCAATTCCAATAACACTTCGAAAATGATGACACCAGTCATCTGTTTCAAATGCTATTTATACGAAAATTTGAAATATTATTCAGATTTTGATTCTGGTTTCACTTATTTCAGTTTGAGTTTAATGTTTTACATAGTACCAAAGAAACAAGAGGCCCATGGGCCACATCGCTCACCTGAGCACTGTGGCTAGGAAAAAGTAGCAATTGGTTTATTATTGAAAAGTTTAAATCCAAAAATAGTCCCATGACCAATCATGGCTTTGCTATTCTTGAGAAGATGATTTTTGAAGAATTTTCTTATATATTTCTACGTAAAACTCTGGTCGGCCATTTTGGCTCCGCCCTATCACTGGGGGTCATGATTTGAACAAACTTGAATCTACACTACATGAGGATGCATCCATATAAATATGATCAATTATGGCTTTGCTATTATTGAGAAGAAGATTTTTAAAAGAATCTTCCTATATATTTCTATGTAAAATTGTGGTCTGCCATTGTGACCCCGCCCTACCCCCTGGAGTCATGATTTGAACAAACTTGAATCTACACTACCTGAGGATGCTTTCATATAAATATGACCATTAATGCCTTTGCTATTCTTGAGAAGAGGATTTTTAAAGAATTTTCCTATATATTTCTATGTAAAACTGTGGTCGGCCATTTTGGCCCCGCCCTACCCCCGGGGGTCATGATTTGAACAAACTTGAATCTACACTACCTGAGGATGCGTCCATATAAATATGATCAATTATGGCTTTGCTATTCTTGAAAAGAAGATTTTTAAAGAATTTTCCTATAATTTTCTATGTAAAATTTTGGTCTGCCATTTTGGCCCCGCCCTACCCCGGGGGGTCATGATTTGAACAAATTTGAATCTACACTACCTGAGGATGTTTCCACATAAGTTTCATCTTTCCTGGCACAGTGGTTCTTGAGAAGAAGATTTTTAAAACATACCACCAAATTTTCATCAATTCCCAATTATCTCCCCTTGAATGAGGGTGTGGCCCTTCATTTGAAGAAACTTGAATCCCCTTCACCCAAGGATGCTTCGTGGCAAGTTTGGTTGAAATTGGCCCAGCGGTTCTTGAGAAGAAGTCGAAAATGTGAAAAGTTTACAGACAGACAGACGGACGACGGACAAAATGTGATCAGAAAAGCTCACTTGAGCTTTCAGCTCAGGTGAGCTAATAAAAGCAAACGTAATAGTTATATGCATAAATTATTCAGAATTTTGTTCATGTGCCGACAGTCCATTTCGGCCTTCATATAAATCGTCCAAAAGAATTCACAATTTTAAAGAACATTGCATTGTATTTACATCTAGTAGGTCTATGCAAAATTTGGTTAGTATTGGTTGAATATTGACAAAGCTATATATATTGTCCATGAATTTTTGGGACAACCCTCATAAGTAAATGGTGAATTGTATAGAATTGTTCTGATCTGTGTTGTTAGGGTGTGAATAAGTAGGTGACATAACTACAAGTACCATAATCTGTCTCACAGTTGTAGATCAGAAAGTCTGCTTCTCTGGGAATTTTCAGTTGTTTAGTTAATTGTTCTAAACCACCTTTGGGAGCATCTCGAGTATCTCCTGGAACTGACTCTAGCTGAAAAGAAAAATTGTCATTTTGAATGAATGCAATCAAACTTCAAATGATAAATTCTCAATTGAATGCATGCAGTCAAACTTCAAAAGATAAATTCTCAATTGAATGCATGCAGTCAAACTTCAAAAGATAAATTCTCAATTGAATGCATGCAGTCAAACTTTGGTATCTTGAATACCCTTTGCAACCTCTTATTCTTAGGGTATTTTACCATGAATATCTTCAAATGCTATTTCTAAGTTTTTATTCAGTCCCATATGTAAGATAAATTTAAGTCTCATAATCAATAAATATTCAATATTTTCAAATGATTCGACTTATATACATATACTGTATACTACTAGGAAAAAAAAACAAAGGATAAAAATTTGAAGTGAATAAAAAACTTTTTTGAACACATTTTCCAGTATTGTAATCTATAAACATTTAAAATCAACTTTATCAATAAGATACTGACACTCATTTTGACTGGTAATTTAAATGAGTTATTCAAATTCATGTGACGATCGATATCCCTAAAAGTACCGGTAAAATAAAAATTCTCATTATCTCCCTATTATGGATGTAAAATATTACGGACGAAAATTTTCTATTATAGTAACCGAAGTGCACACTTTTACCTACGATAATAACGTAAGAAATTGACATTGAATTATTAAGAAATGGTTTTGTGTTTCAAATAAGGAGTATGATATAAAAACGGTATTAAATTAAACGACTTGTACTGTAAAAATAAAATTAAAATTTGTGAAAGATTGAAAATTCAAGGATGTGTCAATCAAACCCATCCAGAAATTCGAAGTTTCAATAGCTTCAAGATGAAATAAGATCTTTATTTTATCATCATGTGAATAGCTATTGCAATATGTCATCATATTATACAGAAAATTTGAGAAAATAGAAAACTCAAATCTCAGCAAGGGCCCTTTTATTAAAAAAATAAGTTTTTAGCTTATAGAATGAAAAAATATATGACAAATAAGAAACAGCAACTGTATTCTTAAAATTTCAAGATAATTCCTGAATATCCAAAAACCTGTAAATAATATCCTTGTATCTACATAAGGCAGTAAAGAACAACTCAACACTGAATGTATATCTAAACAATAATAAAGCTTGTCATATATAAAATGCCAGCCTTCAGTGAATGCAAATACATATCATGAAGGCTTGACCTTAACTTCAAAACAAACAGTAGTTGCAGACAAAGGTTTTCATTTATCTAAGTGACAGATAAAGATAAGCCATCTAAATTTTCTGCAGCAGGCTAGATAATTAATCCCAAGTGATTAATTGTACTTCTCTCTCATCATTTTCTTCTTAATTTATAATAAGAACTTGTTTAGTAATGATAGAATGAGGTTTTTATCCTACTACCTTAAAAATTAATTATATTCTTGAATTTACATGAAGCAAAAAAAAAAAAAATAAAATAAATAAATTGTATATATATATATATACATATCTTCTTTAATCTGTTTCTTGAAATTTTTTAGAGTTCAATGAAATCACACTTATTGTGTAGGGTATTTCAACAAAAAAAAGTAAAAGACATTTATACTTCTGTAAAACCACATTTCAGAGTATATACATTTTAGCATTCCAAATGGACTTAACTTCAAAACAAATTCATTTGCAGACAGAGGTGGTGATTAATCTCAATGTGACAGATAAAGATAATGCTTTGGATTTTCTTCAGGAGGAAAGCTAATTAATCCCAAGGGACTCATTGCAGTATTCAGTTTACACTGGGAACATTTTCAGAAGTATCTCTCTTTGCCAATTCATTCTTATATAAAGTTTAGGAATCTACCCCACCACCCCAGCTCCAAACCAGAGGACATAGAGAAACAAACTCAGCATCAAAATATGTCTTTTTGCCTACTGAACTACCATACCAAATTTGAACTTAATTGGCCTACCATAAAAAAAGTTACAGATGAAAAAACAGAAAATTTGGCCACTATCAAAATATTACAGATGGCAAAATGACAGACAGACAGACAGAGTGATTACATAGGGCACCCGCAAACACTTGCGGGGCCCTAAATATTAATTTCAAATCTGTGTCTAAGCACCTTTTATTAAAAAAAAAAAAATGTTTTTATTTTCCAAATGAAAAAATACAGATGGGACAGCAGACATGAATGCTAAGGACAACTACTCAAATCATGATGGTTAGAGAAAAATCTAAACAATGACACCTTGCAGAGGTGTTTACATGAATTTTTCCTCCGATATGAAAGTATATAGATCTCTTAAGCACATTAACAAGGTTTATTTAATTGATTAATTGATTTTATGTTGTTTAATGTCCCTCTCGAGAATGTTTCATTCATATGGAGATGCCACCACTTGCCAGTGGAGAGCTACAAATTGTGTCCTATACCCTGCACTAAGGACCATTGAGCAGTGAGGGATCTTTTCTGTGCCAGCACCTACTGTGACAAGGGACCTCGGTTTATACGGTCTCATCCGAAGGACCGGTCTCCACGTCCCACAGTGGGATTCGAACCCGGAACGCAAGTATCAACTCCTTAATTACTTTGCCACTCTAGAGCAGATGCTCCAAACAATGTGCCACGCAGGCAGCAGGTTTACAATGAAACGCATTGAAGTGGTAAATTTTTTTGTTTGGATGGAAAGTTTTGGTGTTTCTTATCGGACATCAATTGTTATTTAATGACACACCCATTTCTTTTGAAACTTTTCAGAAATCTTCATCAGAATGCTTTAGGACACCACACTCTTTGTGACTAGCAACATGAGATCCACTAAAATGGAACTAATAAAAAATTAGAAGAGAGAGTTAGAGACTCCCACTTCTGTAAAACAAGAACTGGTTCAAATATATACATTTTACGAATTAATCATGTCTATTGGAGTTACCAAAAACATGTTTTAGTCAAACATGTGTTTATTTAGAGCCTCAATTTGATTGGCTATTATTTATGGAAAACCTGTTCTACAGGTATTCGAATAAACAATATGACCGTTTTATCCCTTTCTAAAGAAATGACAATCAATGTTCTAAAGATAGCTCATAACTTTCCATTCGAACGGAAAATTTTATCATTTCAATCCGCTTCATTGTATTTGAAGAACTACCTGTAATAGGAATATTTTGGGCTTCATAAGAAGCCCTCGGCATTTGTCTCCCTTGAGACACTCCTGGAGTTCAGACACGGGCAGCATCATACTTGGAGTGGGGGTTTTAGGACATGAATTTCTATCCTGACTGTCATCTACGCAAGTAATCACGCCATCTTTTCCATAGGATAAAATCACACAGATGAAACAGTAGTCATCTTTGAAGTCATCCTTGGCCACTATCAAAATATTAAAATAGTTCTTAGCAAAATGATCATCCACAGAACAAACAAGAGGCCCATGGGCCACATAGCTCACCTTAGAACACAGGCTAGGGTAAAAAAGCAAAAATCAGTTCAGTATTGAAAAGTTTAATTTTACTTTGACTTGAATTTCAAACTACCTGATGATGCTTCTATATCTATATAACAAATGGCTTTGCTGTTCTTGAACAAAAAAAATTTCTTCTTCTTATTCATTTGCAAAAATTTGACACCCCAATGTAACCCAACCTCATGCCTGGGGTCATCATTTGAACAAACTTGAATCTACACTACTTAAGGATGCTTCTATAATAAATATGACCAACCATGGCTTTGATGTCCTTGAGAAGAAGTTTTAAATAATTTTCCTATGTTCATGTATATTCCTATGTAAAAGTTGAACAGTCCATTGTGGCCCCGCCCTACCCCTAGTCGTCATGATTTGAACAAATTTGAATCTACACTACCCCAGGATGCTTCCACGTGAGTTTCTTCTTTCCTGGCCCAGTGGTTCTTGAGAAGAAGATTTTTATTTTTTCACTAATGTGTCTCTCCTCAAAGAGGGCCTTGTCCTTCATTTGAACAAACTTGAATTCCCTTCATCCAAGGATACTTTGTGGCAAGTTTGGTTGAAATTGGCTCAGTGGTTCTTAAGAAGAAGATGAAAATGTGATGAGTTTACAACAACAACAACTACAGATAACAGACAAATTTTGATCAGAAAAGCTCACTTGAGCCTTTGGCTCAGGTCAGGTGAGCTAAAAAGTGCAATGTTTCCACTTACCGGGGTATTTTAATCTTGCATATATACCTTCTTTCGCTTGACGACATATACCCCATTCATACGACAAAAATTTTGTTATGTGAGCAAATTTACATATGAGTAAATATACACACAAATATACATACATAAGTAAATATACACACGTAAGTAAAAGTTAATATGCTATGCGTTCAGACGAGATTTATGTACTGTAAGTAAATCCTTGTATTTTCATATAAAATAAGGAGATCAACAGATTCAGAATTCTGGATTTTTATACAAAAAGGTTATTTTCTTCCTGTTTGGGTATAAGACTAACTTTTGAATGTTCCTCAAAGAAAGTAGGGGAAAATCTGATCCATTTATTTTCTGGTACGGATAAAAGCAAACTTAATAACTTTTAGGAAAAAATTACACACGAAAAAAGGAAATCGAAATTAATTAAAATCAATGTTTAAAGTTGGAAAATGCTGTGGCCTCAGTCCTAAAGACTATAGAAAAGCCCTTGGGCGTTAAGAAAAAGATGGGTGACTACTGGTTGGCGTCTTCAGAAGAATAAAGGAGGACTGGAAGTCTTTTTGGTGTTTGGAAATCTACAATTCATCATGTTTGCGAGTTCATTATGAAGTATCTGCTTGAATATTACATGTATTTTCCAGGAGAATGAAATGGGCAATTGATTTAAAAAAATTAAACAAAACAAATATGTCAATAGGAAATAAACCCGAATCCCCTAGAAAATCATGGTGAAATCAGGTGCCAAGGAGAATACTTCAAAATGCTTATTTTCAACAGTGTTGTTAAAATTCCTGTAATATCAATTTATATGTCAGTAGCTTGCCTAGGTTTAAATGCAAAGAAAGGTAGAAGAAAGTCAATCTGTAATGGGGCCCGGGCGATTGATGCAATGCCTATTCCTGTTGCAGCTCCAGAGCATTTCCATGAAGACTACTTGAATTGTAAGGGGACTACTTTTATCCCCCAATGTAACCCAACCTCATGCCTGGGGTCATGATTTGAACAAACTTGAATCTACACTACTTAAGGATGCTTCCATAATAAATATGACCAACCATGGCTTTGATGTCCTTGAGAAGAAGTTTTAAATAATTTTCCTATGTTCATGTATATTCCTATGTAAAAGTTGAACAGTCCATTGTGGCCCCGCCCTACCCCTGATCGTCATGATTTGAACAAATTTGAATCTACACTACCCCAGGATGCTTCCATGTGAGTTTCTTCTTTCCTGGCCCAGTGGTTCTTGAGAAGAAGATTTTTATTTTTTCACTAATGGTCTAATTGTCTCTCCTAGTCAAAGAGGGCCTTGTCCTTCTTTTGAACAAACTTGAATTCCCTTCATCCAAGGATACTTTGTGGCAAGTTTGGTTGAAATTGGCTCAGTGGTTCTTAAGAAGAAGATGAAAATGTGATGAGTTTACAACAACAACAACTACAGATAACAGACAAATTTTGATCAGAAAAGCTCACTTGAGCCTTTGGCTCAGGTCAGGTGAGCTAAAAAGTGCAATGTTTCCACTTACCGGGGTATTTTAATCTTGCATATATACCTTCTTTCGCTTGACGACATATACCCCATTCATACGACAAAAATTTTGTTATGTGAGCAAATTTACATATGAGTAAATATACACACAAATATACATACATAAGTAAATATACACACGTAAGTAAAAGTTAATATGCTATGCGTTCAGACGAGATTTATGTACTGTAAGTAAATCCTTGTATTTTCATATAAAATAAGGAGATCCAACAGATCCAGAATTATGGATTTTTATACAAAAAGGTTATTTTCTTACTGTTTGGGTATAAGACTAACTTTTGAATGTTCCTCAAAGAAAGTAGGGGAAAATCTGATCCATTTATTTTCTGGTACGGATAAAAGCAAACTTAATAACTTTTAGGAAAAAATTACACACGAAAAAAGGAAATCGAAATTAATTAAAATCAATGTTTAAAGTTGGAAAATGCTGTGGCCTCAGTCCTAAAGACTATAGAAAAGCCCTTGGGTGTTAAGAAAAAGATGGGTGACTACTGGTTGGCGTCTTCAGAAGAATAAAGGAGGACTGGAAGTCTTTTTGGTGTTTGGAAATCTACAATTCATCATGTTTACGAGTTCATTATGAAGTATCTGCTTGAATATTACATGTATTTTCCAAGAGAATGAATTGGGCAATTGATTTAAGAAAATTAAACAAAACAAATATGTCAATAGGAAATAAACACAAATCCTCTAGAAAATCATGGTGAAATCAGGTGCCAAGGAGAATACTTCAAAATGCTTATTTTCAACAGTGTTGTTAAAATTCCTGTAATATCAATTTATATGTCAGTAGCTTGCCTAGGTTTAAATGCAAAGAAAGGTAGAAGAAAGTCAATCTGTAATGGGGCCCGGGCGATTGATGCAATGCCTATTCCTATTGCAGCTCCAGAGCATTTCCATGAAGACTACTTGAATTGTAAGGGGACTACTTTTTAATCCTGTAGGGCACATAATTGCACGACCACATCTATATTTCTTATAATTTAGAGGCATAATCATAGGTTTGCCAGAAAGGGTGCAAGATGCGCACGTTTTTGCAAATTCAAATTTATCTCAGAGGAGACTATATGCTAGTGCAACTTGGCGTATCATTTAAAGCAGTACCCTGATCAAAACTCAATTTGCTTTCAGCTGTCCTTAAAGTACAGCAAAAATGACCATAAAAATCCAATTTTTTCTTTTGCTTTCTAGCCGCCATCTTAACAGACTGATGTTATACACTTTACAATGCATAAACAACCTAAACAAGACTTAAAATGCAATAAACAAAACAAAATACATACATAAGTAAATTTGCTGCATGTTCATACGACAAAATTTACACACAAGAGCTAATAATTTGCGACAACATGTATGCAAAAGTCAGTTTGCACCTAGTCCTGACCAGGTGTAAATTAACTCAACTGTGCAGGATTTACATGTGAGCAAATCAGTCCATACCACAAAATTTGCACACGTGAGTAAATTTACATATGAGTAAAATATACTAAGGTATGCAAATCATGTCGTATGAATGGGGTAATAGAGGAAAATATTTTACACATATGCAAAAGCTTTGGCAGATTTTTTGCTGTTGTATTGATGATCTATTAATTTACCATACTCTCTTTATCTGATAACAGGCATGAAAGTTTTATGTTTTGTGTTTTACAACATACTATGCAAAGGGAAGGAAAATCAACAGTTTTGCCTATCTCCTGATATTTTCTTACACTGTTTCACATGTAGTAAATTGTCATTCAGTCTATGTTAATAGTAAATATTTACATCTGCAAACGTTTTCCTTTATATAAATCTACTGAAAGCAATGCATATTTATAACTGTATAAATACCGGTACGGGGCCTAGAGGTCATAGATGTGGGTATGGATAAACATTCGACATAATTTCTCAGTGAAATTATGAAATCTCATAAAGGGTCGATGCGCGTTCAGTGGATTACATACATGCTGTTGGGTTTGAAAAATAATGCATTTCACACGTTAAAAGTCACAATTAGGCAAATATAAAGTATGAATAAGTCACAAATGTAAATTATATATCCGGCTATAAATACGGGTTGGTACGAGATTAAATTCATCATAAAACCCTTTGGGCTTTATGGAATTTAATCTCGTGACCAACCCGTATTTATATCCTGATAGAAGATGATACCTTATTTCTTAAATGTATTCGTGTTTACCTTCTTGCAGTAATTTAATCATTTCCTTCTTTGATTTATTCCTCTCCACAAACCGATCCGTACCACCGTGTATGTCTGTAAACCCTAAAGCTTTAAATATGTCGACTAACTCTGTAATGTCAGCATCCTCTTTTGTAATACGCTCGGATTTCAAATCACCATCCCACTCATCTTTCCTGATATGATATTTGCGACATCTTTGGCATTTTATATCTGGTACGTCATTCTCACCAAAGTGTTTTCTGTGATAATTCTGGTTTATAACAATAAGGACTTTTCCACTTTTTTTCTTTAGAGCATACCTTTAAAAAAAAGTACACTTAAATCAAAATCTTGATTACTGGTATATACAATATTGTTAGCTGCAGATCTGTAGCATTATGGTTTTATATATTATAAGTTTGATGAGGGATTTTTAATATTTGCAAGGGTGATGCGCCCTTCTTGTTGCACTAGCCGTAAGTTTAGACCTCAAAAGACTGGAAAAAGAAAGAATACGGTTGCAGGGAATTAATTTTACGGAGTTTCAGACGAAAATACAAGTGAATGAACGACTTCAAAAATCCAAGATGGCGGTCTTGAGTACCTTGTTAATTATTAGGTATGGGTATATTTTTTTATTAAAAGGAAAATAAGTAACGTCAGGTGCCTGTGAACGCTACATCCCTTAATGCAAAAAAGGTGCAATTTACAGCACAATATTTTTTGCGCACTATTGGGGAGAATTTCTTCACTTTATAGCATTGGTCAATCAGCTACCTTTCACTTTCTAGTTCTAGACACATTATGTAGACAATATTCATATTTTATCCACCTCTCAAAGTTCCAACATTTATAGTTGTCTCTACAGGCAATAAACTCGCTTGAAGTGAATTTTCAGCAATCTAACATATAATTTTAATCAAGGGAGTTTATCACTTGTAGAGACAACTCTATTCTAAAGGGTGGGTAGATGGATAAAATATACAGGGTAGTTAAATAATGTGCCTTGAATTAGGGGGTGAAAGGTAGATAATAGACCGATGCTGGAAAGTAGAGAAAATATCCCTAAAAGTGTGCAAAAATATTGCACTGTAAATTGCATTTTTTTTGCATTACAGGATCTGTAGCATTATGGTCGAAGACAAATATATAAAACCATAACGTTACAGATTTTCAGCTACAATATTGTCTGCCTCTGATAGACTGAATGCAAGTGCGTGTGGTGGTCAGCCGGGTTCGATCGCCGGTGGCCAGATAGCGCAGTTGGTAGAGCACCTGACCGAAGTTTCAGGGGGGCCAGGTTCGAATCCCGGTCTGGTCCGCTGCATTTTCTCCTTTCCCGTTACATTTGGAGCCATGACCAGGATATGACAGGTGAAAGACCTGCCAGGGATGAGCCTGGGTTGGGGTCTTTGGAGGGCCAAAGACCTTTAAGGAGGGAGGAATGTGGCGGTCAGCCGGGTTCGATCGCCGGTGGCCAGATAGTGCAGTTGGTAGAGCACCTGACCGGAGTTTCAGGGGGCCCAGGTTTGAATCCCGGTCTGGTCCGCTGCATTTTCTCCTTTCCCGTTACATGCGTATGTAACTTTAAAACTCAACAAACCACAATTAACTTAATAATCATGAAAGATTTACAAACCTTCCCTCTGACATTTTCTACAAAATTCTTTTTTACTCCTTGCTTTCCTAAAACTTTGAAATGATTAAATAGGGTTTTTCCGTGTCTTGGGTCTACTTTCTTTTTCCCTTACCCTTACGGTAAAGACGTCGTGTGTATGAATTTTCTTATAATTATTGATCTGTCGCACTTATTGTTGATCAAATATTTATATAAATTTATCTGAGTGGTGTAATAATATGTTAATTCCGATTAACAACATGGTATAAAATAGAAAAATGTTGTTTAAGTTGTGTGAGTTAACTCGCACGAAACCTTTATGAATGACTTCTTGAAGATCCGTCAGACCGGAAACTTTAATCCAGATGCAGAAATTCAGGCAACTGAGATGGATAGCCAAACACTGTCTCGAAAGAAGAACAAATAATGTCAAATGTTGTTGTTTTGAGCCTTTCATCTGTAGATCTATAGTTTTTCGCAGTAAAGGTCCGTATTTGATGCGCAGCAGGTGAGAAAAATCACAGAAGTTCGAAATTTTATCACTGAAAAAATCAGTATCCTGGCGTTACCGGTTTTCGATATTGTTAAACTTTAGTCAAAAATTTAACCTAGACATCTATGTTATTCTCACCTTAAATTATATATGAAGTATTAGTTAACAATACGTAAATATATTCCGACATTTATTGGTTTTTGAAATCAAGAATTTCTGTACTGTTTCAACGGGTTACTGTCGTTTCGCCTAGTGCGTTGGAAAACCAGAGTTATTTTTTGTTTCTTTGAAAGATTTCCACACTGATCTAGCCTTTATGCTTTACGTTATTATTTATTTATTTACATTGGGTAGTGAATGCGCCGTATGTACAGAAAGATTTCCTCTGTTCTTACAATATGAGCTCCCTTCACGAGCATTCGCTGCACTCGCTATTAGTTAACAATACGCCGACATTTATTGGTTTTTGAAACAAGAATTTCTGTACTGTTTCAGCGCCCAAAATTCAATTACGAACGCCCCCAAATTAGCATCTCACGAGCGCCCCAAAATAATATCAGCATCTCGAGCGCCCCAAATAATATTGTCTGATCTAAAACAGGTACACAAGTGCTCGTTATGTGGTTATTTTATGCAGAAGGAAATAAAAGTTCAATTTATTTTTTAAATATTTCATTTTCAAATCTATGTTGAATTTGATTAATGTTTACATTGTAGTTTCATACAACTGTACTAAATACAATTAAATTTTGTTTCGCTTTCCTTCTTCAAAGTTAGAGCACTAATGTAATATTCTTTTAAATTATCAACTTTTAATTATGTGTGTAATTAAAAATGTTAGTATCAAAGTCTGAGCACCGCCATTATCCCACATAAAAGGAATCAACCAATTAAAATCTCATAATTATTTTTTACCACATTGTGATAAAGAAAAAATGTTGTCGATAGACTGTTCATTTCTTTGGGTTCGTTTGAGAGATTTAGAAGTGTCTTCAATGCAAAAAAGTGGTAAGTTCAATTTTATTAATAATTCTACAACGTTCAGTATGTGTAGCTTTATTATTTTATTAGGTCACCTGAGTCACTCAGGTGACCTATTGCTATCTGTTTTTGTCCGTCGTCGTACGTCGTTCGTCGTCAATCGGTCGTAAATTTTTGAACATTTTTAGCTTCTTCTCTGCAACCACTGAATTTCCACCAAATTCGGCATAAAGCATCTATGGGTGAAGGGGAACAAAAATTTTGAATTTCATGGTCCCTGCCCCTCTGGGGCCATAACCACCAAAATTAATGCAATCTTTAAAAATCTTCTTCTTTACTCCTTGACATCAAGCAGAAAAACTGTTAGCATGAATGTAATGACCATTGAGTCCTCTATCAAAATTGTGAAATTCATGGCCCCAGGGTCAGGGGTTCTAGTGCTAGGGCGGGGCTCTATTGACTATATAGTAAAAATGCATTATTTCTTTGAAAATCTTCTTCTCTGCTCCTAGGAATTAAATAAACTAACTAAGTACATAGTTATGATGAGGAAGAATGCCTCTTCCAAAATTGTGAATTTTATGGCCCCAGGGTCAGGGGTTCTGGTGTTAGGGCAGGGCTCTATTGATTATATACAATGAAAATACATTATTTCTTTGAAAATCATCTTCTCTGCTCCTGGGTATTAAATAAACTAAGTACATAGTTATGATGAGCAAGAGTGCCTCTTCCAAAATTGTGAATTTTATGGCCCCAGGGTCAGGGGTTCTGGTGTTAGGGCAGGGCTCTATTGATTATATATACATTATTTCTTTGAAAATAGGTATTAAATAAACTTCATTATGATGAAAATCATCAAAATTGTCTCTTATGCCCCAGGGTCCTGGTGTTGGCTCTATTGATTATATATAATGAAAATACATTAATTCTTTGAAAATCATCTTCTCTGCTCCTGGGTATCAAATAATCCAAGTAAGTACATGGTTATGATGGGGAAGAATGCCTCTTCTAAAATTATGAATTTTATGGCCCCAGGGTCAGGGTTCTGGTCTTAGGGTGGGGATGTATTGATTATATAGTGAAAATACTTTAAATCTTTGAAAATCTTCTTCTCTGCTCCTGGGTATTAAACAAACTAACTAAGTATACTGTTATGATATATATTGTGAAAATGCATTAATTCTTTGAAAATCTTCTTCTCTGCTCCTGGGTATCATATAATCCAAGTAAGTACATAGTTATGATGGGGAAGAATGCCTCTTCTAAAATTATGAATTTTATGGCCCCAGGGTCAGGGTTCTGGTCTTAGGGTGGGGATGTATTGATTATATAGTGAAAATACTTTAAATCTATGAAAATCTTCTTCTCTGCTCCTGGGTATTAAACTAACTAACTTAGTATATAATTTGATTATATATAATGAAAATACATTAATTCTGGGAATAACCCATGAACTGTGATTATCGAGAATCGTAAATTCTCTATAATAACACAAGAATAACCTGTGGTATCAAATAACTACGGGGAAGTTGAATGATAAGCCTTATTTAAAGTTTACAAATTTATTCAATAAATAAAAGTCACAATATGTATTAATAAATATATAATTACAATAAAATTTGGAAATGGAATCACCCAAATTCGCAGCGAAGTGCTATAATACTAACACAACCTTCATATTACGTTAATACGATAGAAGGGGGGGGGCGCACTAAACGAGAATGACCCGATTAGTGTATATCAAATACTATAGAAATACCTTAGAATAACCAAAGTATTTCTGAATGAATCTACACAATCTATAAAAGCTATTTAAAGCAAGAAATTTATCTCTATAATTTCTATATCAAATCCTAGCCTTAATTCCTGCTTGAATATTCCAATAAATGCAACTAGATTATCACTTTAAATTGATTGAATTTAAATCTATCAAAGATAAACAATTAAATTTCGTAAAGACTTGACTCACTTTCAGTCAAACCGTAACAAAATTATTTAATCGTTTAATATCGAGATTAACCCAATATAAACGTCCTACGATAAATACTAGCAATTAATAGTGATACGAGATTAACCCGTAATCACTATAAGAAAAATTGATGAATAAATTCAAAAATTACTAAATTCCTACAGAAAAACTCTAAGTCTTAGAATCTAATAAAACACCCTCTAACCTCAAAATCCTAACACCGAGTCCACCGGCAGTTCTTATTCTGCTTATATGGCCCCCGGAGACCCACGCGCTTCCCTAGGGACGACCGGCAGATCTCCGGTACCACCGGCAGCCACCGGCAATAATATTTGTCATATAATGTTTAATAATAACAATAGATAATCGACATGAAAATATGACAATCATAATGTAAAACATTTATACAATATGACAATATTCCCCAAGTATTAGTCGATAAAAATGCTTAGTACAGAGAAATTACATAATCGTGATATTCCACAAAATAATCATCATGATGGCGGTTTTATGATAAAGTTACGGAGTTAGAAAGATATTTACAACAAATAGCATATTACAATACTAAAATTCTTCTAAAATTATGTACAGTTTTATGAAATTTAAAGCAATATGAGCTGCATGTTTGACATCGGAAAAAAATGTTGCAAATCTGTAATTAACTAATTTAATGACAGAAAAACAAATCATTTCTCAACTTCGGCTGTTCATATTTGCGATTTTTTTTTTTAGCTTTGATTGAAGCAAAATTAAATTATTGTCGTCCTGTACAATGATGATTTCTTATATAAGACTGTATATAGTGAAAATACTGAATCATTTTAAAACTTAATCTGGTCATAAGGGTTTAAATTACATATAAATTATTCATAATGCACATTTTCAAAATAAAATTTCTCAGCTCATATTGCTTTAACCATTTATGCGATCTACAAAATCATAGTATCAAATATGTATAGCAAAAACAAACTATATAAAACAACTATCATTGTATATAGTTATGTTGAGGAAGAATGCCTCTTCCAAAATTTTGAATTTTATGGCCCCAGGGTCAGGGGTTCTGGTGTTAGGGCGGGGCTCTATTGATTATATAGTGAAAATACATTAAGTCTTTGAAAATTTTCTTCTTTGCTCCTAGGTATTTAGGAGATGAATTACCTAATATATAGCTATGATGAGCAAGGGCCATTCTTTCTGAATTGTGGATTTTATGGCCCCGGGGTCAGGGGTACCATAGAGGGGGGTCTACTTATATACTGAAAATGAATTAATTGGTTGAAATCTGCTCCTTGGTATTAATCAAACAATTTTGATAAGCAAGGGTGCCTTTTCCAAAATTGTGAAATTTGTGGACCAAGGGTCAGGGGTTCATGTGTTGTAGCGGCACTACTGATTATTGCTGAATATTACTGATTAGTTGAAATGCATTTTTTATTCCCATACTCTACATCTATGGGGTATTAAGTAACCAAACTAAACATGCTAAGTGTATAGTTATGATTAGCAATGGTGCCTCTTTCAAAATTGTGAATGCCATGATGTCTAGTTTAAAACATAAACCAAATTCAATCATTGGAAAGTTGTTGCATGATGCTCAGGTGACCTATAAGGCCCATGGGCCTCTTGTTTTTATAAACGTCTCTTAGCAGTTTAATAGGAACCTACATTACCGGTATTTGTTTTCAAATCTTGTGGCGTTGGTTATATGTTAAATCTGGTGCACTCATGAAACATAGAACTTGGGGCGCTCGTGATTTCCCCATATCAATATTTTTTTTGACATCGAAATGTAAATATAAAAGCATTAAAAGCAATTATTTATTTTTTACAAGTTTATAAGCCTTGGGGCGCTCGTGAAATAAGTTTGGGGCGCTCGTGAAATAGGTTTGTGGCGCTCGTGATTTTATTTTGGGGCGCTCATATTTGTCCTTGGGCGCCGTTAAAAAACTTTGGGGCGTTCATGCATGTGGTGTTTTGGTTTTGGGGCGCAGTGACTAGCACCGTTTCAACTTTCTTTGGATCCACTATTAATCCGAGTTGTTTTGAATGACGTCACCTATTTTCG